ATGAGAATATTTCTGAACTTCCGTTTGAACAAATTTTCTTGTGTGAAAGGAAGGTATACTCTTAGATTGACATGAAAAAGATATACTATGTTATAAATGTATTATAGCAATAGCAGATATAATGTTCGTTATAATAAATTACCACAGCTCATTTTGAAATGTAGCTACACATTTATACCTTGGTCTTATTAATTAGTGCAATTGAATTTGTTTATATTTACGACAACTAACATTGTTGAGAAGATATTTTGCTTGACTTGAAAATAGACTTGCCGTGTTTTGTCCAACACTGTGAATGAAGTAGCTACAGTTATTGGCCATTATTGACGAAAAATGGCGCTGGTAAATTTTGTTGTTTCTGTACGTGTTGCACGTGGATGCTGGTGTAAATACATTGACGAGGTCGAACAAAGTAGATATGCATTGTTTTTCATAACTTTATCGCTCTTCTCCCACTGTTTGGTGAAAGAGATGCAACTGTAGGATTATGTATATAATGTATGGTATAGATACAAGAAAGTACTGTGCCTATTACCTTTTAAAAAACGTTCTGTTTCAGTTTTTACCAGCAAATTGACAAGCAAGATATAATGGATACTGGTTAGATTTATAAGTACACAGAAAATTCACTTACTTTTAGCTTGGGCCATTTTTTCCAGACATTAACATTTCATTTGCCACGTTGTACTGGTATGATCTTATCTATCGTTTCTGTTCTTGTATCGGTGATAGCTGCTCTATAGATATTCCGCAGCAGCATCTACGCCAACGCACGAGCAAATTTTCGGAAGAAAATACCAAGCATACATAGCTACATCATCGTCATTAAACGTTTGCCGATGCCCCATCTTGTTTCTTTTGCAGCTCATATATGTCGATAATTACAATAATATTCAATGCATTATTGTTTCTACCATAAAGGAAGTCGAATTTTACGGGTCAGTCGCGTCCCACTTTTATCTTCATTCGTATTCCTGCCTATTTGTGCTAAAAAAAGATGAAAAGGACTTTGTTTTTTTCAGAATCCGGTCGACTTGTACAATTTGTACTGTTGGGCATTTATCTTCGAATGCTCTCAGTCTGTGCAAGTAGAAATAGCCAGCTTGATTCGAACACATCCAAAGACATTCTATACAATAACTTTGCAGATGTATACGATGCACTGTTCGGATAAGACATCCGTTTCTGTTTGAATTGCCGTATTTTAATGTCATTAGATGCTAAAAATGAATGGAATATTTTCAGTGCGAAATTGCACGCACATCTACAGTCAGCGGATGGAGACAAGTCAAACGTGTAAAGATCTAGAGTCATTTGGTGTAATTAGTATCGACTTCCTGTCTTAAAACAAACTCTCTACAATCAGGGTAGATTTTGAGAGTTTTGGATTTCGTATGAAGAAGTTGTTCTTAAGACACATGCAGAAGCATCGCTCCAGTTGACATGATGTTCTCATTGAATGTCATCATTTGAAATTCACGTAAGGGTGGCGACAAGCTTGTTTAGAGCTTCAACGGTACTTTCAAAACACACTTTTGTGTAGAATTGTATCTTCAGGCAGTTAATACCATATAAATGTACAGCTGCAAGAATAAATAAAAAACCTGAAATAAGTTACTGATCTCTGTATCTTAAGTAGCTATGTAGCACGCTCTATGAAAAAGATTTTAAGGAAATTTAGCACTCCATAGCTATAGACTTCCTATATCTTAAACCATCGATTCAAAACAAATCCATTGTCGGGCGTTAGCATTCGTAGCTCAAAATTCGAAATTCGTCGACCATATATTTCAGTTCTAGAACTATGTATGTGTTAGCTTTTATAAAAACGTGTATTTCAATGATTAAGAACATTAAGTAGTTGGAAGGTCCAAATGTACTGCTATGCATGCTATGCATTCATCATAATTCGAATTTAAGTTCGTTCTCATTTTTTGATCAGTTGTACAGAGATAGCTTAACTAGATTTATGCATACATGCATCCGAGAAAGTTTATCTCGTTTAGCATGATGTCGTGAAAGGCAAAATCCCTTCGATTTGCAGCACAAAAGCCTTTGCATATATATGCAGAAAACAAAATGTCTTTGTGTGTAAGATATGTTATCATCAAACACAGCGTTTATCAATAATATAATAATTTGAAGTAAAGTCGAAAGAATGCCTTGGTAAAATTTGGACCAAGAAATAATATTAATTAATTTCGGTTCTCAATCGAAACAAAAATTAAGCCCCTTGCTGCCTGCGCTACTGACGTACGTGTCTTTGTCTTGTTCACTATGTGGGCGAGTTTTCAACATCCCAAAGATTTGCAACTTCAAGATCCAAAACTACGAATTCCTTCAATTTCATTTATAAAGTTTGGAAAACGAGCGCGTTCCTTCTTTTCCAGCGCGTGCATCTTCGAACAATCCAGCCAGCGGATGAAGATAGTTAACACACTTGTAACATTTTACAGTCGCTTTTTGTTATCAGTACCCACTTCCTGATATTTCAGATATTTTAAACTCTCCAAAGACGAAGCATATTTCAGGAATATATTGAAGTGCCTACACTAGTGTCAGGAAAATAACTTCTTTAGATGATTTAAAGAACATTTTCAACATATTTGATAGGTCGAAAATTTCATCTTAATGGACTTTTGGGCCTAGAAGTAGGAGACTCTGTACCGGATGTGACGTAATCAGGAAAACACATTCGCTGCGTAAAATATTGTGAAATTTTAGTAGGAAATAGCGTCCGACTAGTTTTACTTTTTTAAACATTCATGTTTTACTATAAACCTGTGTCACAATATAGAGAACATACAGTAGAGCCACTCCATTGAATTTTTTTGTGCCACACTTATCTCATTGAGAAATTTTCATCTCCTAATTATCCTCATTGAAAAATAAGAATGCAATTTCTATTTTTCTTTATAACTATTCTCCATATATCTTTTTAAACTCTCTATATGTATAATATCAAATTGACTTGATCATGCTTACATTTCATGTATTAATCGATAACAAACAAAACAGTATGTGTTTAAAAAAATTATCTTTAACTCAACCAGAAAGCGAAGAATTCGATTACACTGCCCGATTTGCCCGTCTGAATGCATTATATTTTTCGTATTATAAACTTCATATTGAAAAGTATTCTTGGAATCCACGACTTCGCATTTGCTACCTTTTTAAGTCCGTGTTAATCCATTCTACTTCAGAAAATAAGCTTTTTACGCAGTAGCTAACGTAGATTACTTTTTGAAGATCCATTGCAATCAATAAAACCCAAAATTCGGTCATAAGCCCCACAAAATAACAGGACTCAGTACGAGCAATGAGACGATGTGCAGTTGATATTTTTCTGCTCTCAGTTGAATGTCTTTAACATATTGTTATAGTTATCCAAACGACAGCAAATGCTGCTTGTTATTTGTTTTTGTCGTTTTCTTTTCAAGTTTCCACGTAGCATTGAAATTCTTGCTGTCGAAGTTCAAATGAGTAAAAACGTTTACAAAAAAATGCAAGAATCATACCTGCCACTACCGCGAGTTCCAAAATTTGTTTCATCTTGCAGTAATGTAAATGGTGAAAAATATCTATTTTGTAATATGCCTCTAAGGATGAAACATTGTATCATGGATTGCATAAGCCAAATGAGGAACAAGGTTGGAAAAAGCACCATATTTAGCATAGACTTATTCAGTTACCCCACCTCACCGATACATCTGCCATGTATTGCAATTAAGGATGAAACTTATGGCCTATTGACCCTCTATATTTTTCAATGTGAGAAAGGTTCTGGCCCCACTTTTGCTAACTATGGTACTGATTAGAGCTGCACCAATCTAATCGATCATCCATTCAGACTCCATGAAAACACTGTGCGGTCTGATTTTTTCGTTGCTTATAAATGTTCTTTCCTTACCCGCATACAAGTATTTACCCTCCAATGACCTACAGACGACTACTTACCCCTCTATTGACATACACAGACGACTACCTTACTCCTCTAATGACCTACACATACTACTATCTTACCCTCCAATGACCTACAGATGACTACTTACCCCTCTATTGACATACACAGACGACTACCTTACTCCTCTAATGACCTACACATATTACTATCTTACCCTCCAATGACCTACAGATGACTACTTACCCCTCTAATGACCTACAGACTACTACCTACCCCTCCAATGACCTACAGACTACTACCTACCCCTCCAATGACCTACAGACTACTGCCTACCCCTCTTATGACCTACAGACTACTACCTACCCCTCCAATGACCTACAGACTACTACCTATCCCTCTAATGACCGACAGACTACTACCTACCCCTCCAATGACCTACAGACTACTATCGTACCCTCCATTGACCTACAGACGACTACTTACCCCTCTAACAACCTACATAATACAACCTTACCCTCCAATGACATACAGACGACTACCTACCCCTCTAATGACTACACAATATTACCTTACCCTTCTAATGACCTACACAGACTACTGCCTTACCCCTCCAATGACCTACGGACTACCTACCCCTAATGACCTACAGATGACTACTTACCCCTCTAATGACTTACAGACTACTACCTACCCTCCAATGACCTACAGACGACTACTTACCCCTCTAACGACCTACATAATACTACTTTACCCTCCAATGACCTACAGACGACTACGTACCCCTCTAATAACCTACACAATACTACCTTACCCTCTAATGACCTACACAGACTACTACCTTACCTTCCAATGACCTACAGATGACTACGTACCCCTCTAACGACCTGCATAATACTACCTTACCCTCCAATGACATACAGACGACTACCTTACCCTCCAATGACCTACAGACGACTACTTACCCCTCTAATGACCTACACAGACTACTACCTTAACCCTCCAATGCCCTACAGACTACTACCTTACCCTCCAATGACCTACAGACGAGTACTTATCCCTCTAATGACCTACACAGACTACAACCTACCCCTCAATGTTCTACATATATTTATACATATTTTATTAATAAGCAAAATATCACTCTTAATTCGTGAGATGATTTCGTGAAGCTGCTAAAATCGGCCAGCACTAACGGAAGGATGTCGGCTCATGAACGATTTTTGATTGTCAGCTGTCGACAAAAAACATTACGGAAATTTACAAATCTCGCTTGCATGTGACCAAGGGCTGCTTGTACAAAAGCCCATTTAGCTTAATAGTGCATTAACCAAACTATTATAACATATTCATAACATTTACGAACGATTAATGTACGGTTTAAGCTAAGCAGGTTTTGCGTAACTTAGAGTGAAGGCTCTCTGTAGCACGATGTTATAAATGCCTTGGTCGAGGTTATAGTTTGTAGTTTTATCTTCGATTGTTATCCGAAGCAAACGTTTTTCAGCAACTTGTTGTTAGGATGTTGCGTTATTCAGCCGGTCTTCCTCGCCACTGTCGTCGTTCACTTCAACCTCGGGACTGCTGCAGCTTTCGGCTTCCACGTAGTACTCTGGTTTCTGTCTACCTGCGTTCAGGCCGATTGGATCATAAGGCAGATGTAGAAATTTGTACACACCAACTCTTCCTTTGACCTGTTACATAAAAAAACGAGAAATGACTCATTGGTCATTCTTGGATATTTTTTAAGGAAATCGGTCGGTTTTGTCCGAGATATTTTAGACTTTATTCTAGTCAATATTGCGTCTCGTTTATAATTTCAACAGTCGTATCCGGCGTTATCAAATACCTTTGAGGATTTATAAATAGATTTTTATTAGATGTTTTCTCTGTGGTTTGCTAACACTCATTAGGTAACACTAAGATGTAATCAACTTCTTTCGGCATCCGACGACAAAAATTTTAAGTAGTTGTATAGTCTTGGTGAAAATATACTTCGTGTACATAGTTGGCAGACATTAGTTATTTGTCTTGCGAGTGTTGAGAGCATTCTTGAATTTGTACTCAATTATGTCTCATCCGTTTTATCGTCTTGCTTCGTTAGATAAACTTCCTTAAACGTGCACAACAAATCTTCAACATACATTCGAGGTTATAGAAAACAAATCTTCGGCTTCACGTTATAAAATAGCGGTCGTAGATAGTTCAAGAAGATGCTCGTTGTCACGAACGTCAAGCTGAACGAAAATTGGCAAAATAATTTCCTCGTAATATACAAGTTGTATCAAATTGATGTAAAACAGTCTTTTTTATCACTATCCTGGTTTAATTTTGACATATGGGCTTTATATATTTTGAAAATATTGCGTGCAATTTTTTATGCACCCAAAAGTAGAACCCTTGAAAATTTCAAGTCTCTAAGAGTGCATTGGTGCTCTTAAGAACCTTATTTACATGTGCTTGCAGTGAAATTACTAATCCATTTCATAATGACTGCTGCCATTTTGGACTCTCCCACTTAATTCTATACTAAATCTATATCTAGTGCACTAAATCTATATCTTAAGCAAAAATATCAGCCAACGATAGACAAAATTATGTCATTTATACTTACATGCATTGATTGTATATTAAATCTTTAATATAATTTACTTTACATCTTTGTAAATTAAATCGTATCCGAACAAGAATATTTGCACTTGTTTTATGCAGTTGAGATTTGATATCCAGTTACAACATGGCATAATGGAGCTGCAAAAATTTATATGACGTCACCACGAGTTTTATTTACAGAACTGCATGCACCAAACTAATACAGCAGTCGAACTTTTGATGTATATGACCTACACTGGCTTAGCAGTCTCGTAATGAAATGGAAATGCAGAGAGCAGAAAATCTCCTGCTATGTATTTCTTTAGTTTGACTTCTATTGAAGAGTCTTCAATCCACTATTTAGACTATAGCGCCACACCCTTCATCCGCCTTCAAATGTCTACAAGCTGTTATTATGTCTATAAGATTTTGCTGCGTGGCTGAGACCAATAATTTCAACAAGCATTTCGAGAATGCTTCGGAAATTTCAGAAAATAGTTACATTAGCTGAACACCGAAAACGAATAACCTCAGTATTGTGATCGTAGACGAAAGCAAACCGACAGCAAGAAATCGTGTTTTCATTTCAAAAAGAAGCACAGCAATGAAGTGCATTTCGAATCATTTTAACATCGAACTTTGGTGATCATTCTTTGCGTTCTACGTGCTGGTCGTTATTTATGTTTACCTGCCTGGCTGCCTTTCATGTCGTGCAAATTGCAAATCTAATAAAAACTTGCAAATTACCTTTCACTATGAACTAAGTGCGGAAATGGACATGCGCACAAACACTTGCGCAAGATCTTCGCTTACCTTCATTATTAAGTCTCGCTTGTAGTACTGTCTTATAGCGCGTCTTAACTTTGTCTTGTTCATGTTAGGGCGATTTTTCAACATCCCCCAAAGACTTGCGACCTCGTCAGGATCCTGAACCACAAACTCTCTCTCAAATTTATTTGTCCAGTTTATAAAAGGCACGCACTCCTCGTCTTCCAGCAATCCCACAAGAAATTCCCACAGATACGCTTGGATACGTCTTTTAATGACTTTTCCGTTCTCCATTGTGATACCACTCCAGAGTCTTTGAAGTCAGTGTTAGGATTAGAAGTGGCAATACCTTAAATGAGAGAACACTACATGTTACATGTCATGGGTAAAATTTCTTGCAATGCTTAATAGCGATAGCGAGAAAGTTGCTGCAGCCAGTGAGTGCCGAAGCGATATAGTCCTTCTGAAGTTTTTGTTTACGTAGGAATCCATTCAAAATAGATGTGTCTGTGAAATGAAATCTAAAATTGACTGCGAAGTTTTTCTTTGAGCAGTGTAGTGTCTGTGTGATTTGCATATATTATAAGCATTAAATAACTATTCTTTATAAGTGCGGAAAAGTGATCGATTTCAAACAAGATATTTGCTCGGAAAAAATAGTTTGCACAAAGAAATGTTGCAGTAACGTTTGTGAGGTTACTGCAATACTTGGTTAGAGCAGCGAGAATAATTTCGACAAAAAAGTACTCGATCAAATGACTCAATATTTTCGTTTGAAGCTCTTTGTTTGATATTTCAGCGGTAAAGTTGAGTGGCTGTATTGTCGTGTTTGTTTGTTGTTTTTCCTACTGTCCTTCAACATTTGACGCAAGCAAGCTATCTTTAAGGCTACGCGGAGACGATCCATCTGCTCACTAGCTAATTTCTCTGTTTATTTTTATTGATTTTAGGTGGCTCGTCGTTTTTACGCATTTTCACATCACAAGTGCACGGGGGAGATACTTGTACGCGCGCATACTTAATTGATCGAAGTTGTTGATGTAAGTCGAACGAATAACCAGCTGCAGAATGCCCTGTTACATGAGGTACAGAGTCACCCAACTTCATAGTATGTAGACAAAAGGAAAATCAGTTCTCATTTAACTTTCATTAAAGCCAAACCCTGACCCCAGCCCAACCCTACTTCCTAACATTGCGGAACTAACAAAGGCAAATTCAGCAACACCGCCAAAGATTTTTTGCAGGTTCCCTGGTGTTCTGCAAATATACCCTCATACGCTTTCAATATAATCGGTGTTTATACGTATAAAGACGTTGGAAGTAATGTAATATTTTTGTTCGACCTCCTTGAAAATACCGATTGGGTCAGCTTACACACACCATCTCTTGTTTATTGCTGTATGAAACAACGAGCACAAAACAACTCCAAAAAATCTAGTTTCGTGTAGCCTTATTGTAGCAGTGAAATTTCCATGACTGAATCAAATACTCTCATTTAACATGCATAAAGGTATCAACTACATGATTATTTTATTGCAAATCTTTCACATTTACTAACCTTATTGTGTGTGGTGATCGTGACTTGTTCTTACTCAGATGACCAGTTGTTGCTAATGATCCGCAGTGTTATAAACGCAAATACATTTGTAAAGTTCGCGCGCGCGTATGCAGGAGGACAATAGGACTTCTGCTCAGTGAAGCAATTTTTAAGATGCAAATGTCAATTCAATTATATTGTGGTTCGTCCGTTCCGATTGAATGGAGAAAACAGGAAAAGTGTTGTCGACAATGATATTTTTCAGACATGCGTCATAACTCATAAATGATTCTAGAACATGAAAAAGCATGGAACGATACACAAAATTTAATCGGAATGAGTGATGAGCTTGAAATCTTCAGGAATGGAGTTTCACTAATTCAGTTGAACTGAAATTGGATTATTGACTGAATGTGTATAAATAAATTCCTAGCTCCATTCAAATTCACGATTTATGAAATTCAAATGTTCATCTTTAACTTATGCACATGGCGTCAATAAAAGCAACTCAGCAAATTTTAGATAGGTACTTTCTTGTAGGCAATAATCACTGTTCGTATCTAGCAATACATCACATCTATTGAATTCTACATAACGTATTACAAAGTTGAGTTATGTAAAACGTAGTCAAAGGGTTTGCTAATTCTGTGAATGTCAATGCAGAACTATCTTTTGGACCGTCTTAAACGAGTTAATGACTATATTATTACTATAGGTACGTACGCATGTTATATTTAAATAAATATTTATATTAAGTGTGAGTGTGGCTCTACAACCAAAGCACCAAAGCCATTATCTTGTCGAATATATTAATATTGAACGGGCTAAGCAAATATATGAATTATTCAGACTCGGTTATCTCCCTCAGCTTCACTTTGGAACCGAATAAGAATTTATCATTTATGTAGCGTCAGTTACAGCCGTATGGGCAATGTCAATGAGCAAAATGTGTGACTGATGATTGGATTTTTTCAAATCAGAAAACTTTTCGAATGAAAACAATTAGCTTACAATAAATATTAAATCGAAATTCAATTTCTAAAGCTGTTTTATCATTAGTACGCCTGCTTTCGTACTTAACTTTGTTAACATGATGTCTCTACTTGGTTTTATTGTGTTTGAGGTTAGGAAAGTTAGCATATTTGCAAATGGCGAGTGTCACTCCCACTAGACTAAGTTTGTAGACGACCGAGGTTTATTAAATAAACTTGGTATGTGTTCAAATAACTACAGTGACTGAGGGGGGGCAAAGGAGGATTTACCAATCCAAATTTATTGTTTGCTCCCAGTCCCGCCCTAAGGTAATTTCAACCCGTGGTGTCGCCAGGTTGTTCAGACTGGGGAGGCAAAGTAACCGTCTAATGTGCAAGACTTGAGTGGAGATTCAGAGGCATTCACCCTTAGAGAATTGTATGACTTTATGTTCTCTAAAACGCTATTTCTCACAGGCAGGATTTATGATAATCTATTTCAGAATAGTAGCATTTTGTTAGATGTATCAACAAGTGCATTCAAGTCAAGTCAATCTTTCTGACAACAATGCTTGAAGATTGCTGTTTACTTTGCTATGTGCCTGTTTACAGAAAGCGAATTTTTTATTGCCGTTCGAAGTTGAACTTATTTCATTTCTTCCTTCAATCTCAAAATTGATCATTGAAATAATTGGAGGGCAGTCCCCCCTCAGTTCCCTCCCTGGCGAAGCCACTGATTTCATCTTACAATTGTTCAGTAGGAAACTAAAGGGTTATCTGACAAACTGTAAATCCAAATACTGATCACATAGATCCACACCCATCCCACCCCCACACAAGAAAATAACATTTGACTTTTGAAAGCTCTTGAAAACTTACTTAAACTGGATTTTATGTTCCCTACACGAAACTTGTATTTTTTAATGTATTTTTTCATGCTTTCCCCGATGCAACTCTTGGGCACATTGCGATGTGTTCTATGTTTTTTGCTTTAGTTTATGCCATGTCGCCGATTGCAACAGACGTTTTATATGCATGAAAATTGTGTCATTGAAGGTGTCGCCTTCGATAAATTAATTTACATTTTATATTAAAGTGCAATTAACAATCATCTGCTCTTGCAGGTCAAGTATAGTTTGTCTGTTGTCGACCAATCGTTAATCGAGTTATTCAGCATAGTAAAGTGCATAGCACGAATGTACACAGTAATATATGCTTTTGATAAGGATCGACTTCCGTCGTACGATTTTTTAATGGTTGACCGTGAATGATCGTTCCGACGTTCAATCCAGACATCATGTGGGCGTTTAAGTAATATAATATTTGTTTAACAAGTCATTGCTGTAAGAAGTTGATTCATGAGTCAAAACATGCCGCCTGTAGCTTGCATGTAAAACCTACAAACGTTCTTTCATTTGCTTGCAAACATTCATCGCCAGACACGTCCAGAAGTATTGTTTGTTAAAACCCCATGAAACCGTTGTCAACTTGTCGCCATGAATGATTAAACCACAGACGAACAATTCACCATGAAAAGATCATGTCAATCGATCTGTTCTGAAGCCTGACACAATGATAAAATATGCTATGTGTTTGTGGTTCTTAGGAATATTTCAAAAACTAACAGTGCCGTCGTCGGATTGTTTAGACCGGGAGGATTATGCAAGGCGCAAAGGTGTTGGACCCACTGATCTGAAAATAGACGCTCTCCGCTATTTCTGTGAAGCCAGAGCCGCCATATTGGAAGAGGTCCCACTTGATACGAAAAAGTAATCATAATATTAATCATAATCATATTTCCACAAAATCTGCTATGTTTATACATAGCTTTAAGTTCCAAAATAACAGAAATACGTCGTCATCAAAGCCCTGTCGTATATTAAAGTTGGGTTTCACCAATGACAACAATGTGGGCACCCGATTATTTTGGCTTCAACTTTTGATTGGGCGTTGTATTGCAGTGCGCAATCCAGTTTATTATACATATCTGTGGTTAGACCTCATTGACAATTTGTTTATTTTAGGTACTCAAAGAAACGCTTTTTCCCAAGGTCTTAAATGTAATCTGAAAGCCGCACGTTTGTAGAAGGGCAGCTTTCCGTTAGATGTCAAGGAGTGTATTCAAAGGTTATTGTTTATAATGTTGACTTGGCTATGTGCCCGTTAAATGCTAAGAAGCAACTTTTATAGCTGTTTTCCTGACCACTCTCCTTTCTCTTCACATTTTGAAAGATGTCAAAATTGGTCTTTGAAATAGCGTGGGTGGGGATGGGGGTCTCTTCAGCTCCCTCTCTGGCGACGCCGTTTGTCTATAATGGATTTGTTGGCTCTCAGCCTCTAACATCCGTATTTAGTGTGATATGAGCGAAATTTTTATCAACATTGGATGTGTTTTGATAAATTGTACATGCAGACGAATTTATGGTTATTATGATTAGTAACTAAAGGATAATATGCTGTTTTTGCTACCATAATGACATTCCGTACTTTGTGCCCAACCAATTATTTTGGGCTGTTGCAAAGAAAATATGTCTGTACGCAGGCTAATAAGATTATACCCATACTAAACCATCTAAATTTTTTATAGCGGCGATTAAAAGTCAATTGTCATATACATAAGTAACTGGGCTATACAAAGTTTATTAATGAACATGCAGTGAACGAATTAGTCACGTCTAGTATTTTTCAATCAATTACAACTTTCACAGCGCTGATGAGACAACATGGTTCGCCATAGATTCTATTTCACTTACAAAATGCCTCGTTATTGCAAGATTCTAACTAGGACCTTTGCATAAGGCTTAAAACATGAAAAACTTAAAAATCAAATTCACATTTCGGATGAGCTGGGATTTTGTTATCAGCTGAGTTATTCCTATTGGTCAATTTGTCCAACCAAAAAAAACACACTTTACAATGACGAACTTTGTGTAAATAACATACCTTTGAATCAGTTTCAAATGCTGTTTTCCTTGTATGGGACTGACTGGCGTAATGTGGTGTCGCATTTAACAGGCGCGAAACATGTTGAAAGGAAGCATAAGACGACAACACAGTCTATTTCTGAATTAATGTCGTCATTGGGCATTATCAGATTAAGGCACGGCTCAAATTGACCTTGAACTGTTAAATCAATTGTAGTAAATCCGCTGGTAAATCATATTAAATTTGTGTTCTGTGACGTGAAACAAACTGTTCCTCTTCCCATTTTTTATCATATTAGTAATTAATCGCCTCATTTGCAAATTCCAGCTCCGACTAGTGCAATGAAAACTTTGTCCGCACTTCTCGACTTGGTGTTCTTACGATCCAAAGAAATATATATAAATTTATGCATATTTGCTTTGCTGGTAATTACACATATGATATTCCAAAAGATTGACTGCATCCCCTTGACGTATCACAGCCAATGCATATAAGCGATTTCTGTGTGAATTGTTTTCAACACGAAAAATCTCGAATAAGAGGCGAAACCAACGTTTAAGATTAAAATAAACAGTGCATTCCATTGGTTGGTGGAGTACCAAAATTGTATAGCTTTTCCATTGCATGGTGAGGAACGGATTGTTCTGGTAAAAATACCGCACATTGATTTTGCCAAAAATGATTTTATCTGCGTCCTATTGATTTTTCCTGTAGATATCATTATCTTGCAAGAAATTGAAGGGTTATTTGAAAATGACCTTGGCATAGCTTCATTAGCTTGCCCTTTGTAGGTCATATGACTTGAAAATTTTACTATTTATATTATATTTTCATGCAAAAGAACCTTGAAAATGACAGTGTATTTTCTAAAATAGTTTTTGCTCTCTTCGTTCCAAGATATTGAAGTTTTTGTAGTCTCTGATTTACACATCTGTCTACGTCATTTTCCATAATGAGAATTTGAAATAGCAGATATAATTTATGATACGTTACTTCAGCCTATCAGAGCTTCCTTCACTGTGAAGATTTAATGGTATAAACAATTGCCTGATCTATTCAACCAAAAGTGGCCCTGAATTCAGAGGATGTTTGATATTTTGCAGTCACTCATTATACAAATTGACGTAAAAGTTGTGTAAATCGGACATTACAAAAACTTCAGTATCTTTGAACGAAGAGATATGCACAAACTGTTTCATAAAATACACTGTCATTTTCAAAGTTCTGTTAAATGAAAATATAATTTAAATTGTAAAATATTTAAGTCTTATGCCCTTTAAACACCCGGCTCGAACTTGAACCGCTTCATAAACGTCATTTGCGAATGAGGTCGTGAGATGACATCTTGACAACCTTAAAATAAACAGCGTAATCAAAACCGTTTTCTCATAGTCAATGTCATTAAATGATGCCATTGGCCCTATGTCATGAAATAATGCCAAAAATCTATCGTAAGTAATGCGAGCCAGTCACGACATCGTGCCAGTCTTTCAACAGTCTTTGCAATTGAGCTTTGTTGCCATTTCTCGCCATGTTTAGGTCGTCTGTCAGCCATACAAGGAAATCAAAGCCATTTTAGTTTTGATGCGACGGGCTGTTCATGCGAACGTGCAATGATTGCTGCCATGATGACGTCACTTAGAGTGAAGATATGAACAAGATACAGCTTTTACCTCACTAATCAATAAAAAAGATATTTCTGGACCATGTGATTTGGGTGTTTTTGCTGATATAAATAACATCAATGTTATACGATTAATGCATAAGTTAATTAAGAATTGTGACCAGTGATATACCGAGCGGGAAGCAAATTCTTAATATAAATATTAAAGCCCAGCAAAGTGCTTTTAAAGCCCAGCAAATGGCTCTTTTAAAAGCACTTTGCTGGGCTTTAATATTTATATTAAGAATAAGTTAATTAAAAAATAAAAGATGTTTACTGTTTTTGCACAAGCTTATGCATACCGAGGAGACCTTTGGAAGAACTCGAGTGCAAATCAGTGCAAACAAGAAAAACATCTTTTATTTCTTTGTAAAATAACAATAATGAAAAAGACAAACATTTTAATTTTACCCTAAAATGCATTCATGATCGATTTGCAAATTCTCTTTGATTGATTGATTGTTTTGATTGATTTGATTGGTTGAGCTCAGATGTGTTTTGCATAGGCTAATGCAAACACGGCTGTAGACCAATCACTGCACGTTTTATTTTTATTTTATACTTCTTTATTCGTGCGAAAACTCGAAACTATCGTGCATAGTTTTTATAATGAATAAATAATAAATAATAATAATAATAATAATAATAATAATAATAATAATAATATTAATAATAATAATCAACTGGCTTTCAAATTTCATGAGTTAGAGAAGTGGGAACAAAGACAACTCCAAATATATAGCATTTCCTCTACCTTGATGCATACAATTCATGACAAAAAAATTGAGGTAGATGTAAAAGAAAATGCCTTTTGTGGGCAATCATGTATCTCTCGGACATCACACGTTATATAAATGGTTCAAGTTAATCTTTGAGCTCAGCGAAACAATTGATAACTTATTCATATTTTAGCTTAAGTCAGTTCAGCTAAAAGCAAAATACGCAGGTCGCTTTTTTTTTTAAATCACACGCCTGTTATTGAAGACCTGCGTTTGGAATGGGTCTAGAACAATTATTCGTGCGCGCGCATAGTACACAGTTGAAGAAAATGCATTGCGTGAGGGAGTTTAGTTTTCAGTTTCATTTCGCGTGCGTTTTTGAAGGCATGTGCGAATTGCCATAATGACCAACGTTTTGCTCGGTGTCACACATCGACGTCACACAAAACTATAACTTGTTTTGATTATGTTTTAAAAAACGTTTTTTGACTACCTTTTGTTTCCAGCACATAAGAACGTTGCGATCCTTCATTGTCATTGCATTGCTTATTTCCTGATTTTTTTTTCTGGTCATAACTGCACCAAATGAGAAATTAATTTGATGCTTATTTCCTAGGTTACGTTGAATTCATGAAAGACATTTATCCACAGGATCGTCGCGGTTCATTTCTTCTGCCGTGTTTACAGCAGGCCTTTTACGATAAATTTCATTATTGCTGTCGGTCGAATTCTTCGTTGTCTAGTCACCATGATAAGAAATTTCATTTCATCCTGCATCATGCCGCTGTTTTAGATCAGTAATTCGACTCTAAAGGGAAATAAATTAAAGGACGTCTGACCCCGCAAGCCATGTTTTGCATTTAAATTGCCCATTGTCGTAAATACGGGAAGTGATGTAGTGAGACTTCCCGTTTTCACAACTAAAAACTTCTTCTCGCATCAACATATTTCGGACGTTTAACGCGGCGCACTAAGTTAGAATGTACGAGGTAAGTAGTTTGTATCATCTCTTTTATTCGTCCATAAGTTTACGACAGTGGCTTGTGATGTGTGCGGAGTCAATTATTCTACTAGCGCGCGTATTTGAAGCTTAAAATTACAAGCATCGGGTGATCGTATGTGCTTGTCATCTCGGTATGATGTCATCGTTAGATCGACTCCGAACGCTGCTGATTCAAGGCATTCATTTGTTGCACTCGTTATTTGCTATCATAAAAATGCACTAGAATTTGTCGTAGAATAGATTCTTGCGATACTGTTGCTCCGCCATCATCACATGATTAAGCATGCCTGGTGTTATGTTTCAAAGTGTTTCAAAACATTGTGTATTTTGCTTCAAGCAGAATCGTCAATAATCGAAATCTCCGATCATGGGCGAATACTGTATTTTCTAAAATACATCGCTGTATTTGACATTGATGTATGATACCTATTTTCTCGTTATTTGCATGAGGAAATAATTTCCTCCGAGCTGGGTCTTCATCATTTGTTCACAAGTTTGAAGAAAATTGTTTCTTGATTTTTGTACTCAAATCGTGCAAGTCATGAGGATCGCGCTATTTTTCGAACTTTTGTCCTTTACCAATTACGATAAGAAAATTATTTCTAAAGATTTGTGAAATACTTTTTGCGGTTGAGCTCATTTTGATACACGTCATCAAATGCCTCGACTATGACACTGGTGAAAAGGTTTGAATTCAAACGTGTAACTCTCATCGTGCAAATTTTAGTTATTGTCTTCGGGGGATCACTGCGCACATTGATCGTCCGAGAATTAGAACGTCATCGGTTGAATTCAGGGTAAATTACATAAGTGTTTTGACTAGTTTCTGTCGAACTTGATCTGAAAAGGAAATCGAAGGGAAGTTTGTCAAGTGCACCCGTTACCTTATATAGCAAATCTTTATTGTTTTTCATAAGACCCCTTACTGATCAGAAAGAGTTTCGTGCTATAAGCAAGCTATTATACCATCAGTTAGACAGTTAACTGTGACTCGGCTCACCATTCATTTCAGATATGTTGAAGCTATGTGCAAACGGGCAAATTGCCCATATTTTAGTAACGGTAATTGCAAGTATTTTTTTTAATTGGTCTAAAGGAATGAGTTATTACGCAAAACGAAACTGAGAATTACGTAGTTCGACGTTTTTGAGAGAAGTATGCGTAGGGGAAGATTGTTCGAAAAAAGCATTTGTATTTTTCAAATATTTTAATTACGTTTGATTTATTTGTTTCCAAGTATAAATATCTTTGATAACTTTTCTATTGAGTATAAATGAATGAATGAACTGACTTAGCTACAGAAGGAAAGTTGTGAGTCAACTTCTTTCTGTTAAGCAATTTCTTTTTCGCATGCGATGTATTAGTAGTCTCATTGTATTTTAGCCGAAACGAGTTGCATTTTTTGCTTATAAATTTTTGATTTTCCTTCGTGAACCTTTTTTGATTGCCTGTTTCAAATTTTCGTTTATAGAAGTCCAAGATGGTCACTGGCCATGCCCTACGACAGAGAATTTTATTTAAACAAGGTAAAACAATGGTTTTTTACTTCTTTACATGCGTTGTGTCGTTACATGAAAAGCGTTTCATTTGTAGTTTTTGCTAAACTTTAAGCGCGCTCTACCTTATATGAGTCACTGAGTCCAACGTGCGGAAAACACTTAATTTCATTTCCTACACATACGAATATTTCATTAAAACACGCCTTTTGATCGCAGCCAGTCAGTCTCGTCGTCTTCTTGCTGCGAGAACTTCGATCTATCTCTGGGAATTTCTCCTTGAGATCCTGGAAGATCCTAACTGCTCGTCCATCGTTTGCTGGACGGACAAGGCCAAAGGCGAGTTTGAGTTTTTGAACATCAACGAGGTCGCGAGGCAATGGGGAATTGTGAAACGCCGACCGAACATGGATAAGATTAAAATGTGTCGTGCTATGCGATATTATTACAAAAAAGATATCATTCATAAGGTTCGTGTCGTTTATCAATGGTTGCCTGTCGTTATTTGATAGTTTTGAATGACCAAGATGCTTCACTTTGTGTGTTAGGATTGTATTTTTTGATGAGCTACGTAATTATGTTTGAAAATGATGTATATTAAACGTTTTGTTTTGCGTTAGGTGAAAGGAAGACATTTCGTGTACAAGTTTTTGCACCTTCCCTACAACCACCCAGTTTTACCGAAGCGGTCAGAGCCGCCCATCGTGGAAAGGCGATCTGTGATTTGCTACACGTCGTCGTGGGATCGTGCTTAGTTGACCAATGATTTGAGGGAGATTCTTCGCTCACCTGACAACAGAATTCCATTTGCTTGCCCAACCATCGTTGGTTGATGCTTAATTTGTAGATTTCACGAACTAGTATTCTTCGTGAAACATGGAATTGATAACAATCAAGAAAATTTATTTATATTATACGTTTGTAGACGAAGCCATTTCGGTCGATAATTTTAGTTGACATTGAAAATTTGCGAGAAGTGCGATGTAGCACTAGTTTTTCGGCGTTGACCGATGTGATAGCATTTTCAGACACAATGTAGACTTTATATTGCTACATGCAGGCCATGATTTTAGATTTTGACAAGTGCCAATTATGGCATTCTTCATTTTCAAGTATCGTTGATTTCAGGAGAGGATTTCAACACTGCACGAAACAAGATTGCATTTTGTATAAGTGAAACTAAACTATAAACTTTCAATTTCATTGTATAAATTTCCTTGAAGTAAGCAATGATCCAATCGTTGCTTTTCTTTATTCGAGGATTCAGCTCAATGACGAATTGCCAAAGGCATAAATCGACGTAGTGAACATAACAATTGTTTTATTTATTGAATAATGTAAGATAATATAAGAAGTTTTATGTCTAATCGTATGTTCTGCGGCGCTTACTTCTTTATAACTTTATTTTGTCTTATGAAATGTATTTAAAGTTCAAAATGCGTTTATTCGCCATTTTGCAATCAGCTTGAATAAAAAGATATTTTAAGCAATAATTTGGAGAAGAACAATTTGTTTCAACAGTAAGTTCTTTCAGAGTTTTGTTTAAATTAGAACAAAACCGTAGTGTGTTCCGTGACTTATGTTGGATCTGCAAATATTTGCGTCCAGCTTCACTTGTAATGCGCTTCTCGTGAGATACAAATGAGGCTCGACTACCTGCCAAGCCTTTAACGCTTCACTGGCGTTCAGTTAAAGCTACGACCTTAAGCGAATAAGGAAAAGTTCAGTCCTTTTATTCAAAGAACATATATTTTCAGAGGAGATGAAGCAACTGGGATTTTGTGTGGATGTTGAAAAAGTTATATTCATACGTCGTGAACGAAACGTGAACTGAAAGATCTTTTTTGAGGAGTTTGACTGCTCGTCAAATAAAACAATTCAATTATGGTTTCAATTGCTAGCTCGCTATCTATGTTTTATTGTGCGTTTTTTTACGTTGAACTCGCCGGGTCAGTTGTCATTTTGGTTGAAGATGAACATGGAAAGCCAGTATGGCGCGAAAGTTTAATTTACCGAGATAGATCTCACATCCCTGTGCCATCTACACAAGATATTTCAAAGGAGAATTTTCTCACGTCGAAGTATCATTCACAAAACGCTAAGAGATGGAAGATACATAGAATATTCTTCACCATGCCTGTTGGATCAACTATGCCGCTGTACTATACCGCCTTAAAAAGATATAAAATAAGAAAAGGGGGAAAAAGTTGAATGAATCGATTTGTACTTGACTGTATTTCATATCGACGAGACAAGGCTCTTTTCATATCCGTTCGGTAACTTTTGAATCAACAACTTATAAGCGGCCAAAAGGATTGTAACGCTGTTAGTACGACATTATTTAGTCGTGGAATTTGGTTTAGGAAGTTTTCTCATCTGGCAAATTTCCTGTCATTAAAGAAAGAGAGATGGAAAATTTACATTCGGAAATGAACTTGAAGAGATGACCTTGGGTCCGACTTCATGATTTTCTTCCTTAAATAAACACAATTGTTGTTTGTACATCGTTCGGCTCTTCCTTGATTTTATATATATATATGAAGAACCTCTCGAATAAAAATATAAATGCAAAATTTTGCACTCGAAATTGATAGTGGCAAAGTGCTTCTCTAAAGCAGTCTCGCGTTTTCTATTTTCTAACCCAGCACAGTGCCACGTCTTATAATACTTAGTCATGTAATCGTGCGCATGCGTGAAGTCACATGTACGAGTGAAATTATTTTTATCAGTGTGTGTAACATGGTGTATGACCTTGTTAGGCGGAATGTTTTATAAATATAAATGTGTGTACAGGTGTTTGAATGACGACTTATGTGGCTTTGGCTAGATGTGAATAATATTATTTATGATCGACTTCCTGTATCCGTGACTAACATGCGCGTGTGCGTCACGATTACGTCACAATTGCGTGTGGAGAAAATATTTTCCGCTTTTTTCGCAACAGGCTGTCAAGAATGCGTGGTCTCATTAAGTGAAGTTGTAAACTACTAAGTCAGCCATTTTGAATCGCATGCAGAAACCATACGACAGCTTGGTTTAGCTACAAACACGTCATACTTGGAGACTCAGATGTATTTGGGTGAGTAATTTCATTCAATTCATAGGGCTGGCTTAGGTTATAATTGACATCGCACATAATGATTTTTTTTCTTCTGTAAACTGCGGGGCATTATCTTGTTTTGTTTTCTTATTATTTGCAATCCGCAACATTTGAATATGAAAACATCTTGCTGCATGTCAGCGGAAAATTTGACACTTCTGTTCCTGCCACGTGGATCGAAGACCGAGTCGATTTTGCCGTTAACGAACGCTTGGTAGGCACACGTTTCTCACGATAATATAATTACAAAATTCGTTCCATTTAAATTTTTTCTTGATTAAATAAAGTTGCTACCATTTAGCTTTTTTATAACATTAACACTTTCTTGTTATCTCAGTTATATCAGTCTCATAACAACAGCGTTTATGAGAGTTGAAATTGTTTAAGTGAGTATGTATGACGAAAAATTCTTTCATTCTCAATGCCAAAAATTACATGATTACTTGAAATGTGTGTATGTATTATATTTATATATAATCTTCTACATGGTGTGAAGCACTATTTTACGTAATAAATCGGCAGTGCATTTAAATTTAGACTAATCCATATTGGAGTAGAGATTATTCTGGACTATACGCATTATAGGTAATCGAACGTAAACTTATAAAAGTTATATTTAGCTACATCATACACCTACAAAAGTGTTTTGTCTAACTCAGGAAGACTAACGAAATGTTCCTATAAATAAATACAAAATGTGCTGTGAACAGCGATAATGTTTACCGTTTGACCAGCGGAACTTTTCTACTACGAGCCCGGATGCTGTTTAATTTTAAAAGAGTTCAGTTTAACTGAATGAGTTATTTTAGTGTGTCTTAAATACCATTTGGCCGAAAAGCGATAGTGCATTGGTTGGGACACAGTTTCGATAAACAATGGCTGTAATTCTATAAATTAGACCCGGAATGTGTTTGTTGAATTTTTCTGATTGGAACAGTTGAATTTGTAAAGGTAAAATTTACCATTTTATTTGTTTCTCAGATTACTTTTATGAACATCTAATGCATCATTTGTGTATGAAAGCCCTGCAAAGATTTCATTCGATTAAATGGAACCAGACTTAACTGACCCATTTTTTTCAATTTTCATAAATGACAACTTTTTTAAAGAAGGTAATTTCTTTGACGTATACGTACTTGTGTAAAGCGTGAACTTTAATCGAATCGTCAACCTGTCGCAGATAGCAATCGGTCATATACACAGGTTTATCAGCATGTAATTATACATGATATTAGTAATGGCGTCTCCTTGGGTTTCGTTTCTATTCGTCACCTGAAATAAATTTTTCGAGAATTTTAAAAGATATCATTGCATAAACTATTAAACGATAAAGTAATTTATTTTTTGCATTTACCATCGTACGATTTTATAATCGATTAACATTACAATTCTGTACGAGACATGTTTGCCTTAAGAATTACTTTTATCTCTATTTTGTAACTTGTTATAACGAGACAACTCGATCGTGGCTTGAACGTGCCTCGATCGTCTCAGTGCTTTGTCAATTGTGAAGAGGTATCAAGATATTATAAGATATAATGTTTTCCTTGTAACTATATTGTGAACAAGGAAATTTGTATGCTACATTCATTTTAATCTGTATGGCGGTGCCCTCCATCAAGATTCAAAACATGTACTACATAACGTATTTTGTCTTCATTTTAAGTGCATGTTTACTTGCATTTTCTAACATAACAAAATGATATTATGAAATGATAAAAAGATCACATTAAAACAACAAGACATTATTGTTTCTGTAAACTTCGATTTCAGTTTACGTTTCTTATACTTTAATTTTCATGTGCACTCGTGTAATTAATTGTTCGTGCTATTCGTGTTGTCTTTTTGAACATAGCCACATTGTTGAAACTGACTAATGAACTCATAGAAAAGGAATTTTTTAGCTGATGTATTTTATTACTGATACATCAACAACGGTCTAATTTCCGTATTCTTGTCCCGAAGACTTCCACTGCAGGAAATATAATGAATCACTAAGATCGTTATCGTGCTTTTGTTTGATTTCATCGAGACAATATTAACCCTGTCATATCATCTTATATTCCTGCTGTGTAAGCTTCCGTCATGAAAGTAATAGGAATGAGTTATTTTCTGTTTGTCGTAATTAGAAAAGGGCCGAAAAAGCAACTTTCATTCTTGCCAAGCTTGAGTGTTTCTCGTTAGACCTTTTACAAAACCTGAGAAGCTCTTGACAGGTCTGAAGTATAACGAGCACGGTGTACGAGCGTTTTCAACTCAATAGTTTTTCTCACACTGGACAGTTGAAGCTGCATTCATTATGATGGCCCAAAGTAAATAGGAAAAATTTAGATGACGTGCTGCTGCCTAGAATCTGTAGTTGTATTAATTGCAAATAAAAGTTATGTAAATGATGAATGATCGAGGAAATAAGATCCACGAATATGCAAATTTTTGTATGCCAAGCAAAGTAGACGTTCGATGTTTTGAAATAAAGCTTTTGGTGCCATTATTCAATATCGCTAATGCTAATCCATTCTTTGTCTTGAGTCCGTTTTCATCCCGGTTTTTCATACGAGCTACGTCTCAGCTTTCAAGGCGTCGCGGAAGACGAGCATTATAACTTCCGCATATAATGATTGGATTTATTGTCTTCCTGTTTCGTATCTTCAACTCATTTTCTCATTTGAACAGAACAGCGCAATAACATGGACGTGGCTAAAGAGATCACGATGCAAGAAGAAGGTAAATGGTTCAATTTGCTAGTCAAAAGTAGCACATTAGTTCGTTTATTCGTTGTTATGTCTTGCGTGTAACACCACTGAATTTCAAAGTAAAACTTGGCGTTTAAGCAATTTTGTTTTGTTGGAATGTATGCTTTTCTCAGTCTTTATTCCCCCCCTAGCGAAGGCCGTTACAGATCTGTCATTTGGTTTGCTATTAGTAATGATTTCATTTAAAATGTATTGTATGCTTTAACGTTACACAGTGTTATGCAGACGGTGGCATAAAATAAACATACATAGAATCAGGAATCACGTTAATGGTAGTCGTTTAATTCTTCTACTAAACAATCCAAAACGGTTTGCAGCTTGTGAAATAGCGAATAGTGTGTCCCTCGCGACAATTGTGAACGTCTTGTGATAACAAAATAGCGCTCATACAGCCGAACATTGATGAAGAAGAAAAAAATAGTTAAAAAATTACCTTGCCACTTATTTAAATGTGAGTGGACTAGATTGTGCTCTGTTCTTTGCTTTGTCATTGTAATTTGTGTACAAGGAGTGATATTGGCCAATGACCTGGACTACAATGAATCCTTACAATGTTTAATTAAAGTGAAATAGAGGCCGATAGTGCTACGACGCGATAAAATATCCGATAAAAGTTTCGATTTAGAATGATGGATGTGTCGAAGCGTGCGCAAATTCATCTATGCGTTTTGAATTCTTTGTGGGGTTGAATTGTGTTTAGAAACACCTTTACAAATTTAAAATTAGAATAATTATAGCATGTTCGTAGTTGCCCACGTAGGATGTTAAGCTTCTTACGTCATATCTATATGTCGGTGACCTCAGGCCTTTTTAGTTGATTATGATCAAAACGATTATAAGACAAGCTGTGGCGGATTACTCAGTGCTGAAGCCTACAGGCCCGGGCTTTCGAGAGGTCCGTTGTACCTAGACATAATTAGGTTTTGGTTCTTGCCATTCCGGACTAGTTGAATGTTCTTGATTTAGACCATTTATGCTGTTGAAAACCGTGCGATCTACTGTTCAAATGCACGATAATTAAAACTCATGAAACAGGGAAACCTGTTTGAATATTAAATTTATTCCTTATTGTTAATACCATGACTTACAAAAACAAGCTGGGAAATGCAAAGGCAAATGAGCGTAAGGATCTTATTGAACTCGTAGGAGGGAATAAGGAAATTGATCCTGAACAACCGGTTCCATCGCTAAAAATAAAGGTTTAACACACAATGGCTCTGGTCATTTAAAGAACGCCGAATTTAAAATTTTCTAGCCGTGTTCAATAGAACTGTCTATTTACGTTGACTTTTTTCCTATTTTCAGAAAAAAACGAAGTACAAGATGTGAAAAAAGCGATAAAACCTTGGACTTCAAAGAATGCGGTTCACTTATGGGAATTTCTCTTGGAATTACTGCACGACAAGGAGTGCGAATCACTGATTTGTTGGACGAAAGCCGAAGACTTCGAGTTCAAATTGATGAACCAGGAAGAGGTGGCAAGACGATGGGGTAATCTGAAACAGAAACCGCGAATGAATTACGACAAACTAAGTCGAGCTTTGCGATATTATTATCAGAAAAACATCATTAAAAAGGTATCATTACGTTTGCGTCTGAATGTGCAATTGAATGCAAGCTTGAACCTGGATTAAATGGGAGGGAGAAACTTGTCTTCATCCTGTGCGTAGGAAGATCAATAATTGGGGCTAGTATTCATATTCAATTTATAATCAGAGGGGAAAATGGATTTCGAAGGACTTTATTCAGTTCGGAATATCATGTATATATTAATACAAGCCCCCTCAATTGTCGATCTTCCTACGCTTTTCCTCATAGCTGGTTCATTTCTTCAATAGAAATTAATCCCGAGTTGATAAACAATGAAACACTTGTCTCCCAAGTGACGTCGTCATTCGTAGGTTGTACATCTTTAGCAAACTTTACAAGTGAATATGTTTTGTTTTATGTGGCAATTTCTGTAGGTGAACGGACAACGTCTTGTTTACAAGTTTGTCAACCTTCCCCGTGACTATACGCCATCCAAAAAACTGGATGCGACGCGGTTACGTCAGCTTGCAAATACATGTGTCGACGTCAGCAACAAGAGTGACGACGTGGAAACGGCTCCACCTACGATGGCGACGAAAATGTCTGTCATTAAAAGCGTTTCTGAAGTTGCAAAAAGTCCGCCCGTAAATAGTCTCACCCAAGAGATGTTCTCGTTTCCTCCGAATACGTCCGAGACATCTCGAAGTACCTCTTCCGGCACCGTTGCGTTGTATGAAAGTAAGCCCATCCTTAGCTCACACGGTGATACCGTGACGACAACTCCAGTTTATCTTCAGCCAATCACAACGCTTGCTGGTGGTTCAGAGTTGTGCGGTTGTCGTTCATATACGTTACTTCAGCCAATCACGCACGGTAACTCGTTCTCGCCTCAAACACTCGCGGTGCTGCAAACACCTTGTTGTGGAAAGGTCTCTTGCACCTCTGGCCGCTCATCAAGTACTTCATATAGGCCGGCCTGCGACACCTACAACAGATACCGGAGTGTTTCAAGTAATTCCTCGTGCTGAAAGTCGAACACAAACAATAGAAGCGTAGGATACCGGGGGAAGTGCTGCAGGCATGGAGAATAGTCAGAGACGTTTCCAAGCCAATTTCACGAAGAAGAGCCGAGAAGACTCGAGCGAAAATAGCTTATTGATCTAACGAACAGTAATTTTCACGATAACATTGTTCACTGTGTATAAAATTATTTATATGTGAGGTTTTTTAATAGCATTAGCCAATGGAGTTGATAGTTCGTATCTGTGAAGAATAAGCAGAGTACGGTATCTTTATCTTGACGAGGTATTTTAACGAAACAGTTGTAGTAGTATATAAATATTCTATTAAAAATACATGTTTTCATAAGTATTTTTTTGCCATTTTTATCTGGTTTGGAAAGAAATAAGAAAACTTTTGAAGATGCTCGCTTGTTTTTTAATTTTTTTTAATTGTCAGTTTTTATGGATAAACATCAACCACCAAACACTGGCATTCCCTTTCAAATTATGACAGCAAATTTGCCATTATTGCCATGTGCATATGCGCAGTTGTTTGATACTTTTGACTTGCATTTTTGAAACGCCGAATAAATTCTGCGAATTCTTGCTTTTCGCGTGAGCCCGGCCAGCCTGGTAATGTTTAAAGTGTGATATGATTTTGAGACATTGAAAGAAATCGATCTAAGTCAAGTAAAATAGGAACACAAATTTGAAAACAGCCAGTGTGCTATGTTATCAGTTCAATTCAATCTATCAAAATCATTTAATGCCTCAATGAGCCCAAATGTCCGGGCTTATAAGCTACATCTCCAGGTGCTTTTCAATGTGTTGCGAAGTCGTTATTTCAGTTTTGTGTTCTGAACTACATTCTGTGTTAATTTCTTTTGATTTTATATCAACTAGTATATGACCAGGTTCGTTCAGAGAAATATTACGAAAAGTGTTGACACTAAAGTAGACAAAAAGTGTAGACAAAAGAAGGTTGAAATGACGAGACCTATGAAACGACGAATTTTAAATTGTCTGAATCACGTCGTCTTTTTGAAATATCGTTCATGTCGCTCCCATGAAATGACGACTTTTTTAATTTTTCTCCACTGCTCCCCTTGAATGGCTCTGTGTTTGCGTGTATTTTTTATTTGGAAGCATTGCACTCAATTGCACTCTGAGCTAACGTAAAGCAAATGCTCGCGTGTTATTTTGATGGATGGAAACAAGTTTAGATTTCTGGAATGTCAAATTCAATATGGAGAAATGTTGCAATTATCTTTCGAATCTTTTCTCGCATTAAAATATTGTTTCCATAAACTGTTGACGTTTTCTTGGGGACAGCGTCAGATATAGATGGTTGAAACTCCAAATTGGGCTTTGAAGGCAGAGATGTAACGCCGTAATATATACTAAATTTACAGAGTTAATCAACTTACGGGAATTCGCCAACGTCGACAATACTGTCAATAAATCATTGAAAGCGTGAAATCTGTACAATCATGAATGATCGCTCGAAAAAGTTCATCGAGGCTCTTCATTCGGACTTTCGAGCATTGTCTAATGAAACCAAAAAGAAATTTCAACCAGTGAAAGAAGTAAGTATGTAATTTTTAGTGGAATGGTCATTTGATTCATTGATTGTGAATTTGATACGTGGCCATTTTATTTTTGTTTTATGTTTGACGTGCATGCATTTTGTCGGGGGTATTTATTTCATTGTTGCGTCTTTTGTGTAAGTTATTTTGCCAGTTTATCGAACTCAATTATTTGTCAATAAATATTGATTGATCTTTTCTTACTTGATATAAAACGTGCTAACGACGTCAGTATTTGCAACTTATTAACATGAGATCATGAGAAGGATTTCCTGATTTTGTTTTGCTTAATACCATGGAGTTTTATTGATCTTTTATTAATTTTGATTCAAATATGATGAAAGCCTTGGCTTTTTACCCAGCAGTTACCACTCAATGTTCACCATATTTGTTATTTCATTGTTAACCAACTATACAGCATAGTCGTCAATTGGCAATAATAATGCAACACAATGAAACTCGTTTGAGGAAAAACTTGCTTTTTAATTGTTAAGCAATTTTTCATATTTTTAATGTAGGCATCAGAAGCGGGAATTCTGAAGCTGAGAAATCTACCTGCAATATACCAGAAAGACAAAGATATCTACAGAGGTATGGGGATAAACTCTTTTCATAGGATGTGGTTAAGTTTCCTTTATTTTAGAAAACGATGATGCTTGCCTGCATTGGCTTGCATCCCTACAAATGCTTTCGTGTGATACAACCAACATGGTTGATGTACTAACCAAATATTCATTCTAATGTCTTACTATCATTTTATACCCAGTTTTAAGGTGAAACATTTTAAGAATATGTATGATCATTCATACAAAAGTGAGGTTTTATGTACCTATTAGATAGAAGATCATTTTTTATCAGAAAGCAAAAGCATTAGGGTATATTGCTCTATAATTTACTCTTTATCTGATTTCCTTACGGAGAAAGCTTCAATTTTTATTTTTATTTTAATGTCAAACATTCCATCTAATTTCTATCCAGTTCTGTCGGAAGAGAATGATATTATTCAACCATTCATACTGGGATGCGACACACAAAGAGTCTTCGTGTTGTTCAAATATCGCTAACAGCATTGCAAAGGCTTATCTCACATCAGGCTGTATCAGAGGTATTCAAGACAACACTGTGTGTTGTAATTGCAGAATGTAGGATGAGAATTTTATGTTCAATGCATGCATTTTGTCAGTGGAAACTGTTTGAGTGAAAAAACCTCCATGTAATCAAGCTATTGAGGGCTGAACCACATTTCACTACATTTGTCTCACATTTTCAAATCATATGTTTGATTTTTTGATACAGTCAATGTTCTTTAGTGTTTTTCTTCCCTCTTTCAAATTTCCCTTAAGACCTCTGCGCAGAATCTGATTGACACATTGTGGCTCATTATGGAGAGTGGACTTGAAGAATTGAGGATCTTGCAGACGTTGCTTTTGATATTGACAACTACAAGAATTGTAAGGGGGGACTCGTTTGCGAAGGTAATTCATTGCAAACTCATTTATCAACAAATCTTTTTCATATCTCAATTGGGAGTATTTGGTAGCAAAACTGTTTTACAACCACCTCTCAATAATGTCAAGAAGTCTATTATGGAAGTATATTGATTCAGTTGCATACATGTTTTTTGTTTTCAGGCAGTCATGCTCTGTTTTAAGCTGTATTTTTTCAAAGACCCAACAGTCAGTATCACTGCAGCTGCGAGTGTTAGGCAAATTGTGTCTGCTGCTTTTGATAGAGTTGTATATGAAGACAGTTTGAACGAAGGTGATATATCATTACGTTTATTTTTCCAGCCCTCAACTGATAGACTGTTCTAAGCTTTGCAAGGTGAACGGTCGGTTTGTGAAAAAATGTTGAGCACTTTAAATTCAATATGTACCGAAGTCCGTTAATTTTGCCGAAAATGATTCTCCGGCTACGCTGTTAAACTTTAAACGTTTGAAGCATAGGAAAGCATCATAAATTATGATAGGTTTCACTGCTACCCAATGTTTGAATTAACAGCCTTAACGTACGTAGCTACCCATGTGCGTTTATTTAAACTTCAATGGGAGATTTGAGATTACCAGTCTTTTAATTTCATAACATCTCCGTGAAGTTGCTCAATATGGGCAAATCTTCAAAGCAAAGAATGTTTAGAAAACTTCAGTTTCATTCATCTTTCAATAGAAAATAACTTGTAACGTGGATTAAGATGATTAACTTAAACTTCGGTTCGGTTGATATTTCGATAATTTAATGAGATATCTTCAAATCCTGGATAGTAACGATCCACGTTAGAAAAACTGGACTCAAATCATGTAATCAATTCGACTTACCCGAAGAAGAGGTCACACCAAAGATAGTAGTTATCGCTAAACAATCATTTAGTTTGTTTTTGAAGAGTTTTGTAATAAGTCGTACGTGCAGTAAGTACGCTTGAAATCTCCTTCTCTGTTGCAGATAATGAACCCGAAGTAATGCCGTCAAATAGTCCTCGACATAAGAATTGTCCTGTGAGCTTAAAACCGTTTGCACGAGATGCCTATCTCATATTCCAGGTAATTACGTTGTCTTTGAACGCAACTGAATTCTTACAAAGTTCTTCAAAGCAATTTATTGTTATGTTAACGTAGGAAGTTTATTTGATTATTGGTGGAAATGCAGAGAAACTTTTCGACATTTCGAAACAAACGGTCTTCTATTACAGTGCATTCTCCTTTGGAATTGTACTGATAATATTTCTTTGTTTAATTTAGTTGTCCATGAATTTTAATTTGATTAAGTTTATTGAATACCAGGCTTGTTTTGAACAAAAAAAAACACAACAAAACAGCGATACGTTCATAATTTGCCTACAAGATAAAATAATATGTCGTTGTAGGATCTGTGTCAATTGACGAATGGCGAGCAACCATATTGGTTGGTTGCTGTTGACGGAATGATACGAACATTTGGTCTTGAATTACTTGAAAGTATTCTCAAGAGCTTTCCTAATGTATTTCTTAAGGTAAGGAATTCTAACAGATAGATTGTTGTACGTTATACACGTCTCTCATGAGGTCTGCAATATTTATGTTGAGTGCAAAGTTTGCATTCTATCTTTACATTAAAACGTTCTCATCATTATTAAAATGCATCCTGGCGATAAGACCAATTATTATTTTGTCTTCGTAGCATCCGGAATTCAGTTTTCTTCTCAAGGAAAGAGTTTGCCCTCTTGTCATCAAGTTATTTTCCCCGAGTATCAAATTCCGACAAGTTTCTGGTAATTCGGGCGATCCTCCTTTGGAAAAACCGGTGTTTCCTATTTCGATGCGATTGCTGCGAATCGTGTCAGTGTTGATTGAACAATTTTATACATTACTGGTGAGTTCATATTGCTAGTTGAATTATGTATAATTTGGCCGGGAGATATTATAATATGAGGTTTTTGAACTGTTGTGATCGACTTTTCTGTAATGGTAGCGGTGTCCTCTACTGGAAGTTGAAATGTCAACTTCTCTTTATGTCAACTACGACGAGAGTGCGAGGTTTTTGAGAGAAATTTCGTTAATTTTAGGTGACGGAGTGTGAAATTTTTCTATCGCTTTTGGTGAAATTTCTGGACATCGACAAGCCATTTTGGCAACGTTCTTTGGCCTTGGAAGTTCTTCACATTCTTTGCCTTCAGCCACAACTTCTTAGGTAAAAGAGAGATTTTTTTTGGTTTTATGTAATATTAGAAACTTGAAGCTCTACATTGGACGGTTGGGTATTTTGTTATGGCTATGGCAATATCACTTTGCTGCAATCTCCTGATCACTTGAACTCCATATTTTTTTTTATTCTTCTTTGACAGGTCATTTTGTCAATACTACGACATGCAAGAACACTCGACTAAAGTCTTTCATGATCTCGTTAACTCATTGGCTAGTTTCATCCAATCGTTGTACTCCGCTGCCGGTCAGCAAGCATCCACTGGGAGCCCTCCCCATTCTCCCTCCTCTAATAATGCGTCATCTATTCAAAATGCCAACGCAAACTTGTCTGGAAATGGCAACCAGTCTGTCTCTGGTTTCCAGTATCATGGTGTATGGTTACCGCTGGTCAAATTACCTGCAGGCAAAGCAAAACCTGTGTAGTAAGTGTTATTAGAAATGGGAAAATTTGCAGATTAAAATGGCCCATTATTCATTTCACAGTTAATTTCGTCTTTCTATAAGACCGTTGACAGTTGCTAGCCGAACTGCTAGATATTTAGTCGTCGAAGTTACGCAAAATATGTAATTGTTTTACACCGGTAGACTATGTAAGATTTGGATAGAGTAATAATTAGTAAATAAAGAGTAATAATTCTGCTCATAGATTAATTTTTCCCCAAATAACATAAAGTCTTTAATTTCTCCAGCCTAGATCATCTCGACAGGGTCGACACTCCAAACGTAACAGAGGCTTACGCCATGACAGTCGCGTTTAGAACCCTTTTGGCTCTGGTGAACAGTATCAACGCTTTAGTAAAGTCGACTATGAAGACTCTGGACGCAGCGCCACAGGTTGAGGGCTGGATCGAGCCAGCTGAGGAAGCAAAGACCCCTGATCAAACTGGAGTAGGTACAGAGGCTGTTGAGCATAACGAAACTACTGAAGGTCTCTGATTTTCTCGTTGAATTGTGACTGCGTGGGCGAGTTCAATGACGTTTTATGTTCACATTATAGGGGAAACATTGAACGAAGTTTGGAAACAAATGCTAAACTCTTCTTGGTGTGGTTTACTAGCTGCGTTGTCTTTGTTATTGGAAGCAAGGTCTGTGTTCGTACTTTTTTATTCTAACACAGGTCGTCAAATTATATATTGTATTCAGCACGAATCAGGCCAGGGGGAGGTTGTTTTGAAATCGATTGTAGTTTTGAAAGAAGTTAGTCAGGCAGAGCTGAACGTCTGAATATTCACACCCCCCTCACCTTCACCCCCATTGAGATTTGTGTTTAATGAAGCATATTTCAAATCTGGTATAAATCTCCCGATCGTGGTATAAGAGTAACAATATATCGAGTATTCCCTCTTCATTATTCAGCAACGACGAATCAGCGACTGAGGGGATCTTGAAATGCTATGAAATACTTGCAAATTGTTCTGGTTTACTGGGACTGACGTTTCCTCGAGACGCTTTCATCATGTCCTTGTGCAAAGCCTCGCTGCCATCCCAATGTTCTCTCTCTGTACTCAGTGTTCCCTCTTTGGACCCGTCCGCCGACCCAAGGCTTGCGTTGTCCAAAGATTCAGAGTCATCTGATAAGACTGGCACTTTTCCCACAATGGTTGCTGGAGTAGCTCCTGGGGCTCAAAATGGACCAGTAACGGTAAGTCGTGCATTCACGTGAAAGGCCACGTGCTAAGCACGTAGTTAGTAGAATTCATGCTGCGAAAATATCATTTTCTTGATCTGGAATAAACTGTTTGGATACTGTTTGACATCGTTAGATTTGATAAAATTCCTTTGAATCTATGTTGGAACTCGGAAATCCTCTTTCACATACCCTCTCTCCCAGTATTCATCAAGTTTTGATTTTAAAATTCAATTTTTTTGTGTTTTTTAAAAATACCTTCAAATATAGTGGAGCACAACATAATGCCAATTCACGTAGTTTTAAATTCCTTTATTATAGGCTCGCACCTTATTTAAACATCGCCTTATCTTTGTCTTTTATAAACCCCATAGCGTGCTTTTCGTTCTGAAGATCAACGCTTCTCGCGGGAACAGCTAGTCGACTAGTTTATGAGACAAGTGCTCTTTTCTAAATAATGGTTGCAAACGTTGAGGATTTTGGATGAATCAAAATAATTTCAGCAACTAATTGTGGGATACAATTACATTTCAAATTTCTTTAAAAAGCTATGTCATGGGAAAAACTTTTCATTTGGACATACATTGATGATCCAGTAGTGTTGTAATAAAGGATTTTTCAATTGAAAATTGACTGCTCGAAATTGTTGTGACTGACGCAGTGACGCCGAATTTTCCACTTAGTCCTGTTTTTAAATTCACGTTATCTTCGAGAGAAAAATTTCTTTATAAAACTCCTCGTTATATCTTTTATTTTAAATGCATTCAGCTCATGTAAAGTTTGACATTCGAAACGGGCTCGTAGATTAGTTTAATTTGCAATGAAAACGCCAGTATAAATCGAGACGTTCCAACGATGCCTTTTGTTTCAGTTGTCGTCGAAAAATATCATGTGCATGCGGGCAATCTTGAATCTGGCCCATTGTCATGGTGGAATCTTGGGGACATCGTGGTACATTCTGCTTGCCACCCTGAAGGTAGCGTTCTGTACTTCTGTTTAGACGCGATGTGCTTTTTTCTCGTGTTTATTTGGTTCATTGTTTTTCAGCATCTGACGTGGATGCTTGGCCTAATTCCAGCTGAAAATGGCAGTTTGAAGTCCGGACCAATTAACGAAATTCCAAATTTGGTACGTGGCCATTTTTCGCAGTATGATTGGTTAGGGATATTGTCAATATAATTCCCACCAGCCAATTACATTATTTCTCACCAGTCGATCATAACTCATTGTTTCTCATCAGCCCATCATTTTGCTGTCACTGTTAAATCACAGTGCTCGTTGCACTTTATCAGGCCATTTCATTACTCTTTTCTCCGTTTTTATTTTTTAAACGTTTCGTATTCGTGTGCTTAAAGGTTGTCAGCTCCTCATTGAAGAATGAAGTACCTGTCCTCTCTGCTATGCTCTCGAGATTGTTTGAAAGTTCGCGGTAAAAGAAATATGATTGTTTGAACTTCGTGTATTTATAAATCTACTTTGTTTTCTCCCTTTTTGTGTATGATTTCCCCCTGTATTAGTGTTGTGCGATTTTTTTCGTGTTCATTTTATTTTCCGAATGTTCTTATGACTTTCTATGCGTGTGCGTGATTTTCTACTATCTAAGTGTTGTGTGATTGTGCACATGTTGATTTGGTTTTCTAAATATTCTCGTGACTTTCCACTTGTTTAGGTCATTTTCTACACGAATAGGTGGCTTTCTGCATGGGTTTTGTAAATATTATTTTAAGTTTTACCATGGTTTTGTAAATGTTTATTGAACTTCTACATGTTTTTGTGCCTTGCAAACTTCACAAAATCTTTGCTGAATTCTTTGGAAGTTTCTTTACTTCTCCGTGAGTGAACACAGAAAAATTGCGTAGCGGGACCAATAAACTGTCCAATTACACCAGTTATTGTGAAATTATGCATACATACCTGTGTAAAATTTTTATATTTTCACTTATTTTTTCATGTGTTTTAACATTTGATATGATTTTCTACACTTCCGTGATTCTTTATATGTTTCTGTGACTTATATACGAAAATTTTCATATTTATACATTATTTTTATAGTTTTTTGGACGATGTAGCGGTGCATCATTTGATAGACGCTTTGTGTCGTCTTATGAATGAGTCAGCAGAGCAAGCGGAGACGAACAAGGTTGGAACTGTGGGTTTACTTACCTGTTTGCCTTATTATCTTAACGATGTGTACCATTATATCCCTCTAGGATCCTTCCTTGTTCCCCATCGCCAAATTGCTAGAGACGGGTCTGCACAATCTTCACAGAATTCCTGTACTATGGAAGCCATTGGCAGCTCACTTGCTGGAGGTACTTTGAATTGTTGGAAAATTCTTTTCATTTCTTGCTTTAGTTTTGCCATCCAGTTCTTCATACATTCGTTATATATAGATTTGTCAAAGTCGTCACGGGCGCATGCGCGTGTACGGTGCCGAGGCTGTCACGTTGCTGATCTGCGAGGCATTGAATTTCGATCACAAGCCTCCTTTGGTCGCCAACGCGGTAAGTCAACACTTGATAAATTTATATCTTCTCTGTCTGACTGTCTTTGCGTTATGGTTAAATTTAACCTCTCTTGAAGAGTGTTCTCAGAGACAAACTGACCAATGTCTGAAATTTGGCTGAGCGTTTCTAAAACTAGGTGTGCACATGTTACTGTATCTGGCAGTATTCGAAATTCGGTATATATTCAACGAATCTAATCAGGCATAAGATTGTGCGTTTCTTTTCCGCCAATTCCGAAAACACGAAGAAGCTTTATTGCCCGCCATTTTGAGGAATTAAAAAACCAACAAGGCGGCCGGCTGGTAATCATTCTGTTAATGCGGAATAATGTCTTAATTGCTTTTAAAGTCTCTTAATACGCTTCACATAAAGATGTGAGAAAGACATAAAGATATTAATGAGAAAAAAAACTTACAATCTTTCCTACCTAGTTTGCTAGTGTTGAATTTTTGTCAGTTATTAGCTACTAGTAATTGTATGTATAACTCACAATTCGATAAATACTATCCGATATGATCAAGTCAGCAACTTTGTCAGGTTTCGAATCCGAAACCTGACAAAGTTGTGTCCTGCACGTCTCTACCATTGCCTTTACCTAAATCTTTTTATCTTTACGGAATAAAAATGAGCATTTGCATTGAAGCCCACGTTCAAAGTATGAACGTAATTCTGTTTTTTTTTGCTCACATTTCATTTACAAAGATCTAAGATTTTTATTTCCTTTTGTTTCAGTCTCTTCAATCGACAATTCTGTCACCGTTGCGTGATATGTCGCGTAATGGCAATGCCGATGTACGCAATCAGCAACTGGAATGCGTTTTCAAGGTATATGTAAATATTTTACTTCGTGTTATTATTCCGATTTTTTGGATTGCTTGAAACTGTTTTTTCTTTAGATTCTTCAATCAAATGGTCCTAATTTGGGAGAAGGGTGGCCTGTGATCGTTGAGGTTATCGGAGCTGCTACAAATCAGAAAAGGTAAGCCATTTACTTATTCTCACCTTTAAATTAACGTTAATTTTGTGGTACTTAGCACCGTTTGTGAAGCATTTAAGAAAATTTGTTTTTCAGCTCGGGAATAATTCAACATGGATTTCAAAGTCTGAATCTGATCGTTACCGATTACCTTCCCATGATTCATTATTCCAATTTGAAATTGGTGATCGATGTCGTCAGCAAGTTTGGCCTTCAACCACAAGAGTTGAACATAAGCCTCACAGCCGTTGGATTATTGGTAAGGAAGGAGGATGTATGAAAACTGCTAATGTGTATAAGTCTAACATTGATGGTTGTACATCTCACTTTCATTGTCGATCTTATCGCTGTAAAGATGATATCTCGCTTTTTTTTGTTTAATATTCCATGCACTTTGTTGTTTAACATTTCCCTAAATTGGCTTGTTAGCGACATCGTTTGTTACATGCCATGATCTTTCTTAAATTTTTTAGTGGAACATCTCTGATTTTTTGAATCAAAACCGCGTCACCATTGAAGAAGCTCTTAAGCAACATGAGGCGCAGACTCAGGGCGAGACTCCCAGAGAAGAGCCCGCGTTATCTCCCTCCGACAGGCTATGGATGGCTTTATATTCCAAAATGGGCGAACTTTGTGTCGATCCTAGGCCCGCGATTCGCAAAAGTGCTGGTCAGACGTTGTTCTCCACAATAAGTGCTCATGGCTCACTGTTAGAAAAACAAACATGGTACACCGTGTTGTGGCAGGTGAGAAATTTATTTCTCCGTCCCCCTCTCCCGCGTGTGATCTTTGATCATATGACCGAAACCCATAAAATAACAGTATATAAATTATAACCGACACTTGTGCTCTGTACAATACAAAGCTTGTGATGTATACGACATGTTTATATGAAAATATCGCCTGTTTAATTTGCAAAGTTTCTGTAACGTGAACTATTGTCTTAAGACGTTTAAAATAAACGGCAAGATTTTCAAGTCGAACAGGTTTCGACATACGTTATGCAATCTTCAGTACGAAGTGAATAGGAAGTTGACAGTCCATTTCGCACTGAAAATGGCATAAAGTATGCCGAAACATGTTCGCCTTAAAAAATTTTGTCGTTTATTTTAAATGTCTCGGGACTTTGGTGCTACTACGAAATTATGGAAACTATAATGTCCATAAAGTTCCAGTGAGAAAACCAGCGTATCAAGCAATTCAGCGATCGGATTTGTCAATCAAGCTTTCAATAAACATTTTTTGAAATTTACAATGTAGGCGAAGGTAGTTATTGCTGTTTGGAATTGATTTTTTTACAAACGTTTTCTTTTATCGATTGTGATGTAAGAATAAAAAGCCAGTCGTTTTTGAAGGTAATTTGGTTTGTCGGTTATAAAAAAATAAAGTAACCGGACTAACTGATCACTCAATCTGGTTAATCGAATAACCGCCTCAGCCTAGTGTTAACTGCTATTTGAGGACTGGATTTGATAAAAAAAATTTCCAATATAATTCGGGCTTTTTTAGGTTTTATTTCCCCTTTTGGAACGCGTCAAAACGATGTCGAGCAGTGCTGCTTCAGTCCCACCGCCTAGCGACACTGCAAACCAAGGAAAGATTCTCATGCATCATTCACGTGATACGGCGGAGAAACAATGGGACGAGACACGTGTACTCTCCCTCAATGGCGTTGCCCGCGTCTTCAACACTCGCAGGCAGCTTCTTGCGTCTCTTGACGAGTTCCCAAGGGCTTGGGCACTACTTTTGGAATTTGTCGAAGCCTCTGCTTTAAGTAAATCCGCTGAAGTATCGCTGGCGGCGTTGAAGAGCTTCTTGGACATCGTGCAGGATCCCACGCCTGATGACGAGGTGAAAAAACCCGAGGCTGTTTATAACACTGAAAGTGGCAATTTTGTCAGTAAAGGTAAATCAAAGTTAAAAGTGAAGCCGAAATTTTGCAAGGCAAGCGAAGATGTTAATCTATGGGTGAACGCTTGGAGAGTCTGGCATAGTATTGGCTTCATATCCACTTCCAGTTCGCATACGTTAAGGGAAAAGAAGGATTCCAATGGGCAAGTGGTGAAATACCGTGTTTATCCTACTCAGCCCTTCCTCTCCGCTTTGATAGACGTGTTCCCGTATTTGTTTCCGCGTATTTATTCGCGTTTCGGCCTTGCAGACTTGCAAAAGTTGTCGCACGTTTTGGTTAGCTCTCTTAGAATGCCTGTGCATGTAGATGCAGCACCGTTTCTCACTACCTTACACGAGTCTGCTCTTACACCCCTGCAACTTTCCATTTCGAATGCGCTGGACATGCTCCGGGAACCGATTCCGGACCGTGGCTCAGTTCTGGACAATAGCTCTCAACCAATGTATCCAACAGTTTTTTCAACGCTGTTGCAAGTGGTGAATTTCGCTTGCAAGCCCCCGGCATTGGAGGATATTGAAGAGGATGAAAGAAAGAATTGGGTCGTCATAACTTTGGTACCGTTTGCTGAGAGTTGTGTTGAACGTGTGGTGGACTTGTACCGAGAGTGCGCCGATAATGATAATGTGATCCAAGATCACGTGATTTATAGCATTGTTAAGGTGAGTCGGTTAGTGTTTTTAGGACTGCAACATGCGGATCCTTTGAGGCACTCGTCAGTCACCGACTTGTTGTTATCAATTTATAGTCGTTACATGAGCCATTGAAGTTGAAGTATCAGTGTGGACGTCAATCTACGTGGAAGCTTGCTATCAATTCTCTCATCACGATATTGCAACTCGCGTTACCTGTTGCTTATAAGGATACTCGTACAGGTTTAACGCTTTGATATTTCGTCACGTTTCCCCCTTGACCGTATTCCACTCACGATTCGAGTTGTTTTCTTTGTTAACCTGCGTGTACTGTGGGAAATAACATGTGTGATTTTGTTCCTTGAAAAGAACAAAAATAACGAAGTCAAGTTCTTCTTTTCAGAGCTATTTCATTCAATGTGGGAAGAAATCGCCTCTACGTTTGAGGATTTTTTGTTTGCCATTAGGTTTGTATTCACCTACATGTTTCTTTTCTTATCCAGTTTTTTTTTTAAGAGTAGCCCCATTGGGAAAATTTTATTTAATGATAAAAATGGTACAACTTTTATAACTACAGCATACAAATATAAAAAATGTTAACTAAAATGAATTGTTTAAAATATCCATGATAATTTTCAAATTACTAGCTTCAAAATAAAAAAAAGTGACAGTCAGGTGTAAAGACAACTTTCCCAATAAGCTAGGTCAATATTTAAAGTGTGTTCGCTTGTTGAGGCAGATCGACTTCCTCGTATCGCAGTAATTGCTGACCTAATCAGTGCGAAAGACAGTTTACAACGCATCTTACAACGCATTTTCTTATCCAGTAGTTTGTATATATTATTTAATTTTATTGTCCAACTCTTCCATTTCAGTAATCCACCTGATACACAGACTTTAGACGATCACTTGAGCGACGAACAGCTCGACTTAAAGGTTTGTCTCTGGACATTTTGCCAGATTTTGTGGACTTAGTTCTAATGAGTCGATGTAAATAATTTCAATGGAGATGTTGTCTATAGAGATGTTGTCATTTAATATGCTGTCAATAGAGATGTTGTTAATGAGGATGTTGTCAATTGGTGGCTTGCAACCAATCCCCTGGGAGTAAGAGAACAATGGAATGCTCGCCATGTTGGATAAAATTTACATTGTACTAAGGAAAAGCTTTTGTTAAAATCATCCAACATGGGGACTATGACGTAGCTTGCAACCCATTAATAGAGATGTTATCAATAGAGATATTATCAATAGAGGTGTTATCAATAGAGATGTTGTCAATAGAGATGTTGTTAATGAGGATGTTGTCAATAAGCATGTTGTCAATAGTGATGTCCTCAATATAGATTTTATAGAGATGTTGTCAATAGAGATGTTGTCAATAGAGATGTTGTCAATAGAAATGTTGTCAATAGAGATTTTGTCAATTGAGATGTTGTCAATAGAGATGTTGTCAATAGAGATGTTGTCAATAGAGATGTTGTCAATACATATGTTGCAATGAACATGTTGTCAATTGAGATATTGGTCAATAAAAATGTTGTCAATAGAGATGATGTCAACAAAACGTTGCCAACATAGATATATATTCCGCGATTTCGTTCTCAGTACCCGGGTTTTTTTAATTTTCTCTGTTTTCAGATACTTCGCATTATACGCGACGATATCCTGCCGCATTCTGATATTCTTCCACGCGATTTCTTGTCGAGAGTAATGACGCTACTGAATAAAGGCTCCATTCATTCTGCTACAAACTCTACTCTTGAAGGTTTGCTCGCAAGTTTTCAACATTCTAAATACACAAAATTTAACTGAAAGATCTTCATGGGAGCCATTGCATTTCGACCCAGCAATTTGGGATGGACATTAGGAAGGATTGCATTGTGATGCCGTCAAAGATATTTAACTGCGAGAGCAGTGTGGAATGCACACAGTGAAAATCATTTTTTGAAACGGTCCCCAATCTTAGGATGTTCAAACTGTTCATATATTTGTATCTGCTAGTGTATTTTTATTTCGTGTATTATTTTTTTCCATTTCAGGTCTTGATGGTAGTAAATTCCCGCTTCGTGAAGAGTTTGCGAAAACATGTTTTGAAATTCTTTTGGAGTTTTCATTCTCTCATGGCAATGCAAAGGGAATTCAGAAAGGTAAATCGCTAACGGTACAATTTTCGTAAGGGATGGGTCATAGAAGTGAATATAACTGGAATGCTACTTCAAACCTTGAAGGTAGCAATTGAACTAGTCCAATCTTTCCACGCCCAGTCCAAAGAAGGTTTATTTACGACAGTGAGCCAAAGTTCGTGACTTGACCTCGCTTGTGCAAGTACAGGCATGTTTATATGAACGAGTTATTAATGTAAAATGTAATGAACATTACACAACTCAGCATGGCTCGTTCATCTGATATATTTACACAATTCTTCGCCCAAATTCCCCACTTCCACTAATTCATAGATGCTTTTGCGACTTGAAAAGATTAATTTCCTTAGTTTAACTTTTAGTTCAATGCGAACATTATCGTATTTTTGTGTTCCTTGTTTAGAGGGAAAGGTCTCACAATTAGCCATTGACTCGCTTCTCGGACGCTGTAAGGATGTTCTTTCCAAATACTCGGAAGATGATAAACTTGGCGGAAAATGTCCCTTACCAAGGTTCGTTTGTTTGTATGATTAACTCAAAGATGGATTTATGGAAGTGGTGCGGAGTCGTGCCCACATCGCTACAAAATACTAATGTGCCAAACAACTAAGCAAAAACAATTGTGATCACGACTGGTGTTTAATGAACCCCAGTTCCGAAACTCTTCCGATCATAATGAAAGTTCACAGACCTTGACAAATAAATCTGACTTGCTAGAGTAAGAATTAACAATCTGAATCTAATACAAACTAAATCACCCCTTCTACGAAACCATCATGGCTCCATTCCTGGTTTAGCCAAATGTTTATATGTCTCGTTGTGTATTTACGTCCATCGTGCATGTGCTCATAACTATCCTCATATGCTCACATCGATCCTCGCAAATTTATGTCCTTTATGTGTATATATGTCGTGCATGTGTCCACATTCATTCCCTATCCTATGTATTTTATTTGCATCCCGATGTTTCATTGTTTATCCCTTTTATTTTTATTTGCATCCCAATGTGTTAATGTCTATCTCCTGCAGTTTTCTTTGTATCCCTATTTGAAAACGTCTATCCCCCGTACTTAGGTTTGCATCTCCATGTGTTAATGCCTATCTCCTGTTTTTTATTTGCATCCTTATATGTTCTTGTCCAATCCCATATATTCATCAAATGACCAACTTACTGTAGCAACATGGATGTTCAGTCGTTCTTTTTATAATTTACAAACCAAATTTATTTATAATTTACAAATCTATTTATAATTCTCGTCATCCTTAGTGAAAGGTCTTTTGCTTCCATTTTTTCCTTTCATTCAGAACACGTATGGCTGAGGTTACATTTGTGATAAAGGCGATGGCAACTTTAGTGTTGTCATTGAAAAAGAATTCAAAATCGCCTTCAACTAATTGCAAAGGTAAGATTGTTCTATCTATTGCAGCCGACGATAAATATTTCCAAGTTACATACGTCTTAAATTATTATTCCAAACTGCAATTTTCAGTTGATCCAAGACTGTGGTCTCAGGTGGTCGACATCTATCCGTGCCTCGTCGAATGTATTACGTGCAGCTCCGATGATGTACGCGAGGCGTTGAAGCTAACGTTATTCGAATTTCAGGATCTCCTGTTGCATGACTACGACAATGCAATCAATAATCAATAATCATCATCAGAGAAAGGCCATTTTGTTCCTTTCCCATTAAAAAACGAGAAATGTCGGTAAAAATAAAAAGCCCAGCTTAGGTAAACCTTTTCACGTGATTTTAAGGTTGCTGTTTCATGTTACGTGCGTTCACTACTTTTTTTGCTATTTATTGACCGCTGACCGTAAACTGAGCCAAACATCAATACACGCATGCTCGTAACATGGATTTGTAGCCATCTTTAATAGCAATTCATTTTTGTAGAAATGACAAAATTTAAATTATTGGGGAAACTCCTCGCTTGTAATTTCATTTCATTGTTTCAATGCATTTTCACGCGATAGCAGTATGCGAAAAATGAATCATTTGTTATAATTTCCTGTGGTTTACACGTTTTCTACTTTTTATGTACATCTGATTTTATAAATAAATCAGTATTGTTGGCAATAGCTCAACATTCAACTAGTTTCTGTTTTTAGTTTACAAAGTTTATTAATGAGTAATTTCTTCTTGCTACTTTAGTTTACTGTAAAACATTTCACAGTTTTGTTAATACTGTTCTGTCTGTACCATGGTATGCACACAATTTGTTGAGTGTTTTCAATTATCGTTGTTTCCGACTTTGTTTCCAATCAAAGGAATGTCTTCAACATTCCATCACGTCTTTTCACTAACGTGATTGCGTGATTTCTTCTTGAGACCTTTGGCCTTTGGTCTCTCTCCTTTTCTTTCATCCATCTCGGAGAAAAGCCCTTTGATTCGAATTCAGTTTCGACTGTGTGTTTCTGTAGTAATCTTCTTTTTTTCGCACGCGAGACTTTTATTTGCTTTGTTGCATGCTTTAGGAATCATGGCGTCCTTCAATCGCTTCCAAGGATCCTGTCCTTTCCTTTCTTGCGTTGCTTGCAAGGCTACTTGAAATATCTCTTTGACGCCTTCCCCAGATAAAGCTGAACATTCTTTGTACGCGAATGCATTTATTTTCCTTGCAATCTCGCGTCCTGTTGACGAACTCACTGGCACTTCGTCGTTTTTTGACCACCGCTGGCCATGAGCTGACGACAGCTGTCGACGATCCATTTTGTTTCCAACCAATATAATTGGGACGTTAGGGCAATAATTTCTTAATTCTGGTGTCCATTTCTCGTAAACGTTTTCCAGGGATTCTGGTCGGTCAATTGAGTACATAACAATAAACACCGATGCTTTTCGATACAACATTGGTCGAAATACTTCGATATCCTCTTGTACAGCGGTGTCCCAAAGTTGCAAAGATATAGGTCTCCCATTAAGTCGAACTTTCTTCGTATGACTTTCGCAGATAGTAGGCATGTATTTGCTTGGAAATTGTTTACCAAGGTAGACTTTTATAGCCGACGTTTTCCCGCTCATTCCATCACCAACAATCACGATGTCTTTCGTCATACTCTAAAAAACACAAAAATTTCTTTATAAACGTGTTTTATTTTCCTAATAGCTGTTGCAATGTTGTAAAAGTCTTTGTTATCGTTCTCTAGTTTCATAATTATTCCTTTAGTTTTTGGTCAGCATGATGGGGAGGGCGTTGTCAGACTAAAAACGATTCGTCTCTCTTTTTGACTTTCAAAGTTGAAACAGCGGAAATATTCTTCTCAGTTACATTATCGAAACCTTCAAAACAAAACAGCATGATAGAAAACGCCAGTTTTCTTTCAACTTTTGCAAAAAAAACTCAGGTTAAAGGTCGTGATAATGAGCTTAACATTGTAGCTGAGAACATTTCACTCCTCATTCATCATCGAACACATGGCTTTGCTATTAATGTCTGTCATTTACGTCATAGATGTTTTAAAACATCTGATTTTAGTGATATATCCTATTCTTGCAGCCGATTTGATCATAATACAAGATAAAAGTGGATCAGTGACGCAACAGTGAAGCTAGGTGTTACCTTCTTGTTGAAAAAAACCATAATTTGCATGATTCGCGCTGAAAACATGTTTCTCACGAAAAATCGCTGGTTGCTTAGTATCGGCCTATAAAGACTGGACCAGCTATGTTGAAAGATTTCACAAACTAGTATAGCAACATGCATATAATTTTGAAATACCAATCAAATTATACGAAAGAAGACATCCCACTCACCGTTTGTAGTCAAATAGGATTGAAGATATTTCTGCTGGAAGTCTTGCACCTTCTATATTCTCTCTTCTCCGTACCTTTACTTAGATGTTCACTCGACAGTGTGTTGTGTGCGTTGATGGTTTTACTCCGAATGTGCGAGTTTCTTATAATGCAGGCATTCCCCTGCTTGGGGTTTCATGTTGTGAAAACATTTCCGTAACAGATACTCCATGAACGTCATAGTTTGGCAGAACTCCGACTTTCTCTCATTTACAAAGGTCAAGTTTCCACATCTGTTTCGTTTATGATGGGTTAGTAGTTTTTGTTCAAGATCATTTGTTAGTAGTCATCCTTTGGTTACCTCCGTCATGCGAGTGCTTGTATGGTGGCCAGTTATTCGCGGAATGCATTCGATTGAACGATAGTAGGAAGTGTAAAACTACGTAATTTTTAAATGGTTTGAAAAAAGCGCCTTCTGTTTAGTCGGGGGGGCTTTGAAACGTGATGTTATGATACTTATGATTCATTCAAGACGGTTTGGATGGCTGTATTTTTTATGGGGGACTGTATATGACTCTTAGCTACATCCCACGTATATTCATTATACGATTTTAAAGTGCATGAAACGCGTACGACTAGCATTGTTTCGTAAATTTTCATTTTTCAACGATAGTTAATGAAGCTCCTTTTGCGAAAACATTTAGCTGAATTGCAAACAAATCATTGTGTCAAAGTGGCGTTTGAATGAAAACGAAAAGTGAACCTCGTTTCAGTTATGATTATAAAATTAACACAATGAAACGCGTGCGCTGATTGGTCTAGCATGTGCAAAACACATCTGAGCTCAAGCAGTAAAATAAATAATAACAATCATTTCAGTCAAAGAGAATCTGCAAATCGATCATTAATACATTTTAGAGGAAAAATTAAAATGTTTGTCTGTTTCGCATTATTGTTATTTTATAAAGAAATAAAGATGTTTTCGTGTTTGCACTGAATGCAAACCTCGGAGACGTTTGTGAGAACTCTCGAGCACGAACAACCCTCGACCTTCGGTCTCTGGCTTGCACTTATCTGCTCTCGAGTTCTCCCAAAGGTCTCCTCGGTTTGTATAAAGCCCGTGTAAACACAGTAAACATCTTTTATTTCTTAAAGTGGTTATATCACGAATTTTAGCCCCCCTTTTTTACGAGCTTAATTGAAAATTTGGATTATTTGAAGAACTATGACATGTCGCTGGACTTAAACAGATAAATATAAGTTGCTTAATTTTGCCTCCAAAGTCGGGTACTATTTGCGAATTTTTTACGACGCCATATTGATACTTGTGACGTAGATAGTTGAACACGTCTGTTTCCGTCAGTATAATATTATATTATAGAAGGTGATTTTGTTGTCGTTTTTCTTGTCTTAAAAACAAATAATGACAGTATTTTCAATAAAATATTAAAAAAAAAGTTGTCCGGAAAGTATGGCATCAAATCAGTGCTCAGATAATTCGAATTCGATGTCTGAATGCGTATCTGATTCGAGCTCGGAATCCGTGGGTTATGTCGAGCATTTAAACGACTTCGCATATGACGATGAACCGCTAGCAGGAGATGGTGATGAAGTGCATACTCCAGATGATCCCGATGGAAATCTCCCTGCGACATTAGAACAACGAAGTGATGGCGTAATTCCACTTGGTGAATGGTAAGTTGTTGTTTTCTCCTGTTTGTAATATACATAAAGTTACTTTATAAACCAGAATGCTCCCACGTTTCAGGTGTAATTGTCAATGCTGTCATACCGATTTGTTAGAAGGCGCATTAGAGTACAGATGCTGTAAGGAAATTGGACCAGCTTTGCAGAAAATGACATTCGATGGCAGCATTGAGAAAATATCATGCATAACACAGCATGCCAAATTTGGGCCTTTAGTTCATGAGGCTGTCCTTGAAAACGTCGGGCCACTATTGAGAGATAGGAATGGACGTGCTTATCGCCGCCAAGCATCACAATCACTAAATATGTAAGATTGTAAATTGTATGAGAAACAATGTTATAATCAACATTGTTTCATCAACAATAATTAGTCCAACCTTTTTATTTACTTCAGGTACTTGAGAGCTGTGGCATACAGATGGTTGATGCGATGGTTTTGTGGGTCTATGGGATGGGAGAATACTGCCTTTACCTGCTTGTGTTTACCACTTTATTCGGAAAGCATATCCAAGTGGTAACACAACAGGTTACATACCATCAGAGGGGCGATGATGGAATAGTCTTTTAACTTGTGCACTGTAGAGACTGTTGACCTTCTTTTCTGAGTTTGGAATGGTCAGGATATATGCCTAGATGAAAACCAAATAGGAGATACATGGATGCACTATATAAGTTGACATGCAGTTTAATGGTTTGAAACAAGAGTAAACAATAAAAACAAATTGGTGCAACTACTGAGAGGTTAAGCTGAAAGAATTAAATGAAAGAATATCTTTTCTTCAATGTCAGTCTGGGAAAAAAGACAAAAGAAAAAATATATGAAATTAAATCATAGCATAAATGTAAAAATGGAAAATAGCAAGCCGTTCAAATGGCGAATCGTTTGCTTCCCCAGTGCATACTCAAACATGCTCAGCTTCATCACTAGTAGATGGTACTTCATCATTGAGAGAACATGTTTCCTTCAGCGATGGCTTATGGAGAGTATGTCGAATAATCTACAAAACTTATATCAAATTTACATATGACAAAAGAAAAATTAACATAAACAAGCGTAAACTTACTTGTCTTCGCTTTCGATCGGTTATTTCGTCCTGTAATGGTTCAGGAATCCCAGCCACGTCAATGGTTGGGATAGCATCTTTCTTCAACCTTCTTTTGAGCTTGACTTACACACTCAAATTAAGGTCAAAACAAGAATCTTCAAAATGCGCAGAACACAGACACGAGGTAGAGGAAGCCTCAAAACCCGGTCTATGTTTACGCACAAAATTTACCCATTTTCTATGTCTTTGCGGCTCTGTTTCTTTTTTAGGAAACAGATGCATCGACATTCCTTCGGTTTTTGAATCATTGGCGCAACTAATTTGATTATTTCCGCCAGCAACACAGCGTTTTCCTCCGCGTTTCTTATTAAGATTACTAGTAGAATACGCCATGTTGATATATGTGTTCAACTTTCTACGTCACAACTCATAAGCATACCGATCAAAAAGTTCGCAAAAAAAATGCTGAAAATCGTGACTTTGAACGTCCGTAAAATCACTTTCACCAATCCAATTTCAATTATAATTGCAGGTTTAAAATCACTGAAACAAGGTCTTTCAATTTAGCTAATAAAAAAGGGGGGCTAAAATTCGTGATATAACCACTTTAAATAATGCAGACTAGAGGCGAAATTAACAAATGCGCATGCACTGTACTGAAATCCTTTTTTACAGTCATTATATGGTGACTATCTGAAAATTCTTTTATATTTTGTATTTTTCGGAGTTCTTAAAATTTTTTACATAAGCTCGAAGTATTTGTAATGTTTTTATCCGTTTTCGTTCGTATTTCGTAATATTAACATGCTTTGTCATAACTGTCCCGTAATCGTGGCATTTTGTGAAAGTTACAAATCTTTTTCATAGTATTTTGTATTTCGAATGGTAGCGAGCGATTGCCGTCGGCATACGAGTTGCTAAAGTCTCGTGATTCCTTGGATAGGTGTCTCGCTCGTAATTTTTGTACGAGGGGGCTAGCCATCGCTTGTGGTGCTCCCTCGCCAAATCATGTTTGTCATCATGTCAGCTAAGAGCTTATTAACGAGTGTGATTGTAAATATCAGGTCTTAACTTGTTGTGAAGCTCGTGAATTGTAAAATTAACTTTTAGATATTGTGGAAAAAGGTAGTTTGTAGTAAGTATTTTTTGTGCACTAGCATTATCCAACAAGCACTGGCTGAAATTTTTTATTTAAAATCAGTTTAAACGTACGTGTCGGTACGTTACGCTTGCAGACGAAAACAACATTAGATTTGTAATTCTCGCGAATCAGTTCCCATAATTTTAACAATTTGATTGCGTGACTTTAATTCCTATAGTTATACTTTAATTAAAATTTATTAATTCCAGCTTTTTAAAAATACTGGTTCGAAAGGTTAAGGAGATAAACGTGATTCACCTGTAGGGCGCTTAGTTAAGAATTTCTTCGAAACAAAAGCGAAGGGCTTGATTAAATTTCACTGCATGAGCATTATGAGCATATCATAAATAACAAGATTATGCAATTCATCTCTCGACATGTTAATGGCATTTTTCCTCATACACTAGCGACTGTTTGGTGAATGGGGAGGTGCCAACAGCTTTACTTGTTACCAAGTAATTCCGATATTTTATACACACAAACTGATGAGCAGCCCTTTATTTGTTGTACTCACATCCATTTGAAGGAGGGAAGGGACTGAGACAGAGGTTCAACATTACACCCAAATTATGAGGTCATGGACTCAAGGTCAGTATAACATTGCGAAGTATATTTGGAAAATTTATTGTTGTTGATTTCCTATCTCCTTCCTGTGACTTTGTAAAATGTTTAATGCGTATTTAGGACACAAGTTAGCTTGTGGTTGTACCCCAGATCATTTGAATTATCACGGCTGTTAACACAGAATAGATACGTATACAGAAGCGCCACTTAGCGAAAAATCTGTGAATGGGGAGGTGCCAACAGCTTTACTTGTTACCAAATAATCCCGATAAGTGTGGGTGTGTTTACCTGAGCATTTTTTATCAAACTTCCCTCTTAAATTTATTTGTAACTTGTACAAAAATAAAAAATTTGTATTATTCTTATCGTATACTTTTACCACTAAAATTGTATTAACTAACTGAGTAAGTTAGTACTTGAGATTTTTTAAACAATATATTTGTGTAAATAATTGTTGTTTTTATTACTGAAAACCGAAAATTAATAAATGTGAAAAGTTCTATAATTTGATAGCGAAACTGGTAGCGAAATTTGAAATTTTTTTCAACCAATTTTCGAATAAAATGAAAACTTGGTTGCGAATTAGAAACATGCATTCGACTGTAGGAGCCTACGAAAAGTGGCTCAGCGGCTTCTTGCCACAAATCCAACATGGCTTCCACGGACGGTATGTGTTTCAAAATATCGTTCATATTTATTTTGAAATTAAGCGCGTTTTCCATTTAATGTTATTCTGTTGTTTTGCAGACATAATTGTAAGACGAAGATTGCTGATTGATGGTGAAGGAAGTGGGGATAATCGAAAAATTCAGACCTTACTGAAGACGTTTTTGAAGTGGTTTCACTTCGAGGGTAACGAGGACGAAAGGTAATAGTTTTAGAGTTACTTCTTACTCCTGTTGTCCAGTATCTTGCGGAGAGTTTCATTGTATTCCAAAATTAATCAGTTCAAAGACATCAATGCTATTAAACCACAACTTTATGTAATTTAAGCTGTGTGATCAGTGTAATGACGGTAGTGAACAGCGAATTCTACTAACACATGTTGAATGCAATTCCAAGAAAGAAATGTCGCAAAATTGTATGTTTTTTATTGAAATGATAGCAACGTCTGACCTTATATTACCAATTTCTAGGAAAACGCTGGTGTAGCTCAGTTACCGTCCTTTGTATATATGCAAGAATCCTTTTTTGAAATTCTGTGGACTCTCTAGTTGTCTTTGCGTCGTTAGGATCTTTACGAGTTAACATGTCCATATTGGGGTAGCCAATGATCAGATTAATTACAAATAATTTCTTTCAGCCTTCGAAATACCTATATTATTAATAAATAGGCAAGCATTTATAAAGCTGGGTTTATATGTAAACTTGTAAAGTTTTGGTCTGCTGGTTAAACGTTTCTAACGATCAAGTTTATATTGCCGTTAGTTAGTGTATAAAAAGAAAGCAATGCATTCAAGTATTCAGGAATTGATTATATTGATGTTTGATTGTTTTGGAAACTATAAAATATAGCAGTAACATTTATGAATCCTGCAAGATGACAATTTATTATGGATTTGTTATATTAGGGATCATTTGTACAACAAAATGATGATTTTGCTGGTGCAATGCGACTTTAACATTTGTAAAACGCTGCAAGTCTTTGAAATGAATCAAGTTGAAATGAAGAATTACATGGACCTTTATGAAAATATTGGTGTGATATTTTATGAGTTTTTTTTTTAATTGGCCTTTATGATGGACGTATGTGAACTGGGATTAAAAGTTCAGTCATATAATAAAATTAGTTTTCTGTTGAATTGTTATAAAATGGACTTAATATTGAGCCTCTGTGTTTAGGGGAAAGCATAAAGAGTGCCAATGATCAAATTAAGGAGTGTAAAAGAGATTTGGATGAGGCTAAAACAGTTCGAAAGAACAGACAAGGTATAGTACATTTTGTTAGAAAACTATAATTTAGTCTGCCACAGTGATTTATTGATTACAATTATGATAAAGTCACTTTGCTCTGGCTTTAAAATAACTTTTTTCATGCAACATTCTGATCAGTTGCTTTTTGTATTTTGTTTAGAGTATGATGCTCTCGCAAAAGTTATATCAAAACAGCCAAATCGAAAAGAAACTTCGAGGTAAGATGGGCTGTGGTCTGTTTAAAGAAATCAATTATCTGTCTTAAAATTCCGTGTGGAGATTAAGTTTTTATACTGACAGACAAAAACCGGCGTATATTGCTCCTGAATAGGCGCGAAATGTGCCCTGACAGTAATCGTTGTAAAATGTGCCACATGCTGCGTTACTTAAGATATTAACGCTCTCTCAGACAGACAGTCAGTGCGTGGAAAGGTGGAAAAATCCTAAAAAAACACTGTGCAGACCCTTTTACTGTGCGGTGCTTTTCCATTTACAATTATCGAAACTGATAAAGTCGTTAAAAAGTACAAGTCGATAAAACATCCTTTCAATTTTAACATGAATGTCCTTTTACTAGGTCATTCTGATGTACTGTACCTACTTTATATATATCGAACCAAATGTATTTGATTCATATGGAAATCTATGTCTATATTTCATTTATGTCTTGTGGTGTACAGCGAGATAAATGTCTTAGAAAAGGAACTGCAGACTTTAACTGAAACGCAGCAAACTCTCACAACGAAGGTAACGTTTGGCGATTTTTTTAAAAGAAAACAGCATCGCCTCGGTTTTTCTCAGTATATTTTGTGTGATCATTTTCCCCACAGCTCGAGCTTCGAAAGAAACAGCTCCACTTACTCGTTCATACAATACACGAACTACAAGAAATGTTGGAAGGTGAATATTTATTTGTGTCCTCAATTAAATCTCCGCAAACTTTTTAAATTTTAATAGCAAAATGAGAAACGGCGAACACCCTTCTCTAAAATGCGAAGTGTATCAAATTTGCGATGGGTCTTTCTACCTCGCCTTCCTGTTAAAACCGAATTCGAGTTACGTAACATATTTCCAAACTTTTCTATGTTTGTTATCATCCTTTTAGATGATCCAGGGGCATCAAGGAAGCCAAGGATATATCAGTCGTTGCCGATGATTCTATTGACATGGATGTATCGTGAGGTGATCATTTGCTAAGTGCCCGCACAGATTCCTGGACATCAATCTTGCTTATTGGATTAAAGAACGAGTATGTCATCTACGGTTTATTATCTGTCGATGGGAGTTAAGTAGGCACGTACTAAATACTACAAAGGGAACCGAAATAAGAGTTTTCCTGCCGAAAGTAAGTCTACACTTGTTGATATACAATTTAACAAGAATTTTCATTATATTTTCTTGCTGGTATTAAGTATGCACATTTAGCTTGTGAAGTTTTTTGATTGATTTTATCATTGTGTGAACACAAGCTTTACCCAGCTTCACCAATTACCATGGCGACAACAAGCATTGTGGAATAACATAGAAAAATATCAATATCTATCGCTTGATGACCATCATGCTATAAAGACCTTTTCTCGAATTGATTAAATAGACCATTTAAGCGTTCACAGAACGTTCAATCATTCAGACTAAATACTTTAATATGCGTTTCATAAAGTCGTGTTTCCTTCAATTTCTTCCTGCTTCCCAACCGACGGCCTGACCATATGTAGGAGGAGGTTCGTGTGGAGAAATGTTTGGGTTAGGATTAGGTGCAATCCATATCCTGTGGTTGGTGGGTAAGGTGCGGTTGGTGGGTTCTCTGCATTAGGAGAAGGCATGATGCCGTAGCCGGAAGTAGGATAATGTGCTGTTGGAGGTGAGGATAGTTGCATTCCGTCGCAAACAAACCAAAAGCTGTGGACATCAATGGGGTAGTCAGGTTCACAGCAGCAGTTACTTTCGTATTTGGCCGAGACGTCCCCTGCCATCAACACGCGCCAACCACGTGCTGCGTACGCCTCTATAACGTTGCAAAGAAAGCTGCGCATGTGACACGTATCGTTGTTTATTCCACCGTTCCACGGACAACCTCTGAGTTTCAATTGGCGTACGCCACCAAAACTAAGGTTCATTATTTTTTCTTCCTGGATCCCATTCATCCAGCGGCTAAGGACAATCTCCTTGAACGTATCGTCCAGTTCATGTGGCGCGTTGATCAGACGCAATTTATCCGAATCCGTTAAACTGAGACACATGACCGGACAGCATTTGGGCTCGCCTTTTTTAAATATCAACACGGATTTATCACTTAGGCGACGTGAGATATCTATGGCTGCTATGTTATGCCAACCCTGTACCATCATTGCTTCCAAAATCTTGAGAATTAAATACCTAAAAAAAGTAGAAAGAACAACGTTATGTATAGTCATGCTGTGAAACGGCCAATTTCAAAGTGCCCCTTTCAGCAAAAATTTTTAAGTTTGCCAAATCGTTCCATTGTTATTGCTATTTAAAGTTAGCAAAATGTTCCTTTAATGGACCTTGTCCGTCGTTAGAACGGACCTTTGTGACATCATGCAAGGGATTCCTCAATACAAGATATATTTACCGACTACCTTGGATGACGTCAGAATTTGGCTAGACCCTGGCTTCATGCCACGAGGGACAAGGTCCATTGAAAGGCAACTTTAGCCTTCAACAAGAAGACAATTTGACCAAATTGAAAAACTTTAGATATTACACCAAGTTTTGATATCGCTAATAACAATTTTGCAGATAGGGGCACTTTAACGTCATGGTCACTCAAGCATGCAATGTTAGCCTCATTGTAACTTACAGATTACTTGTACGTAAGCTAATTCTAGCAAAAAATATTTATTACTTTTAAGCTAAACGTGTGTTTCTATGCCTGCATGAGGATGCTGCGTTCTTTTAAACATTTCGAAACAGTATTGTCTATTGGGGACTACTGCAGTTTAGCGGACACCTTGGACACTGACCCAAACCCTAACCTATAATCATTGGCAAAAACGAGCCCGCGCTCCCGATAAAAGCGCTTCGGGTGTCCGCTAAACGGCAGTCTAGCCGTCTTTCTTGTACCTTGCCATCACCGACTCCCTTTGAAGAATGCCAAGGATTGCCTGAAAGTTTGAATTCCCAGCTTCCATGATGGTCTTTCTCATTCTGAATCGTACTGGTGACCATACGCTTTGTATAACACCGCGTATTATTGTTATGATCGGCTCGGGGGCGCAAAGAATTCGGAGACGATCGGTACGATTAAGGCTTATCGTACAAAGTTGGGGGAACGAGCCTGCGGGCAGGTCGGGATCGTGGCGAAAGAAGAGAGAGTCTGCGGTACTTTTGAGGTTCACGTTGACAGCGAAGGAGTATTGGTGTTGATAAAAAAACCCGACTAAATTTTGGAGCAGCAGTTTTGCCATGATGGATTGCTCGTCCGTTGACTCCCAAGGGTTACCGCACATCTTTATCTCAAACACTCCATTTTGATAGGATTCATTTTGAATTCCTCTCGTCCAATTGCGGCGGACTGTCTGCTTAAAGGTTTCGACGAGCTGGGTTGGCAGATTGATAATCATAAGTTTGTCGGTGCTGCTCAAGCCAACGCAGACAAATGGATATGCCGATGAGAAATGGCTGGGAGATCGTGTGAGAAACACCGCACTTTTATCGTTCAAGCGTCCGAGGTCACATGATACCACCACTCTTCGCCCAATGTTGTATAATCTATGAAGGATTGTCGCTATCATTTGTCGTGAATTTCGAGAGCTAATCGATTCAGGTGAATTAAATGGATTACCTAAAACAAACATAGCGAGATATTGCCGACTCAGATAAAATTGTACACCGTTTACGATCAAAATTTATCTGTTCAGTTACCTATAACTTTGAATGCATGACCCGTCCCACAAATGGCATATTCGTTTTGAATGCCGTGGGGCCAAGATTCCATAATTGCCTGCCTTATGGTCGACAGTGCATCTTGATCATGGTGAAGAACAGTGATGCAATCAGTGTCGTGAAGAGATATACACATGGTAGAAAAGCCAACATTGACTTGAGGTAATGGCTTTGATGTGTCGTTACCCATCTTAATAAAAATAGTATACAACCATGAAATAGTTTAATATTAATGGCTGCAATTGGACATGTACACAACTTTGTTGAATATGTTGATTTTTTATTTTTTGCAACACTTCTGTCCTTTAGAACTTAGCCATATAGATTGATCTTTTGTCAACAATATACTTTTAGTTTTAATTTTTCTGAGCTATAAAGGTAAACTATCTATTCTTTCAAAATGGGTCACTGTTATGGTAAGGACCAGCTAGAATTCGGTATTCTTAGCTTAGCAAGGTGTGCTATATTTAAGAAAAGTGTTCACATATGTATTCATTACCATTCTTAGTGAGCGCCATGCTAAAGTATTTTAAATATTTGTTGAAATATACAAAATTTTAACTCACTACAAGACTTGCCAATGAATATAAAAACTTAGAAAATGAATTAAACACAAGACTAAAGAATTAAAGTGTAGCTTTGCATTTTTACTATATTTTTGACATATTTAATACTTTGCTTGTATGCATGAAGCAATGTAACACAGTAAGTCGAGTATTTTATACACACAAACTGATGAGCAGCCCTTTATTTGTTGTACTCACATCCATTTGAAGGAGGGAAGGGACTGAGACAGAGGTTCAACATTACACCCAAATTATGAGGTCATGGACTCAAGGTCAGTATAACATTGCGAAATATATTTGGAAAATTTATTGTTGTTGATTTCCTATCTCCTTCCTGTGACTTTGTAAAATGTTTAATGTGTATTTAGGACACAAGTTAGCTTGTGGTTGTACCCCAGATCATTTGAATTATCACGACTGTTAACCAGGGTTGTTAGGCTCCAGCGCTCATTTGTAGCCAAATATGGTTTGAAAAGTGGCCAAATGGCAACAAAAGAGGCCAAACTTGTTTTCTGAGCCCGCACTGTTTATGGCATGCGGTTTTAATAAGTTTTTCTAATTGCTTCTTATAGTCTATATGGATTTATCATAAATATATACCATACATTGCAAATCTAGCGATGCCAACGCCTAATGTTCACATCAAAGGACATATGGGAAGAGGTGAATACAGAACGTAAGACTGAAAATTTATTCGCTGTTGCAAAAATATAAGGTGCTTGTTGACGAAATGAAGAGAAAAATGAACTACACATCCAAAATTTCTTGATAAGCATTACAAGCTTAAAAGGCCATGTCAAAATACAAAGTGAATAAACTATTTTATCTGTCTTTCTATAAGATCTCGACGTGCATAGTTGTCATTTTTACTGCTCTCCATATATACAGATTTATATAAATATTTATGCATAGTTCTTATAATGTTTATTCTACTCACATTCATACATGTGTTTAGTGGCAAACAGCTCAAGCATTCGCTTAGTTACCTTAAAGTTAATGCAGCAGTTCCAGGCAAAGTGTAGGCTGGAACGAATACGAATAATGGCATTTAGCAGTTCTAAGCTCATCCTATTGCGTTGTTTTGTCTTCACTGATGTCACCAAGGAAAAGGTTCTTTCAACCACTGCATTGCTTACAGGATTTGTCAGGCAGCTTAAGGCGTAAGTTGCCAATTCCTTGAATGGTTTGACCCCAAGAGAAGTTTGGAACTGAACTATCTTTGACCAAAATGCAACTGCTGTATCAGGTATGATGCCGTTAAAATTTGTTCCTCTTTCCAATTTCGGTGGACGATCTTCCTGTACTGCTCCTCAATTGCATAATCTTGATCCTTTCGTAGATTAGGAAGTGGCAGTTGCTCAAAATCGGCTCTCGTTGTTACATCAAGAACTTTGCTTGGATGCAGGGTGCTTAAACCTTTAAAGATATTCCGGACAGCTGGTAAACGTTTCTCTACTTGATTTACAGCTTCCACAAGAAATTCTAGACACCTATTTTTCACTTCAGAAACTTCAGCTTCAGCACGTCGTTTGTCTTGTTGGGAAGAAATGTATTTCTTTGCTTCTGACAAGAACTTTCCACCAAAGTCAACTTCATAAATGGCTAGATATTTTCCTTGGTGGTCGAAAACTCTACCATATAAACTTTTATGGTGTACATTTAGTTCCGTGAACATTTCTTCTGGATCACCATCAGTTGCCTGGAAGAAGGCATTCACCCTGTCGAATTCTGTGACCAGAGGAGAAACGAAATGGAAATAAAGATATAGGACTGGATCATTGAGCATGTCCAGAAGAATACGAGCCTTGAATCTTGCTGCCTGCGTCGTCTCTGGTTGTGCTGTTCGGAAGTAAGCTTGCAGCTCAAACCAATTTGTGAGAATGCGAAATATAACTTTTCCTCTTACAAGCCACCTCGTAGTTGAGTACTTCTCAAACGGTGCATCTTGCACATCATCTGCATGCTGAACACAAAGGGACAACGAATGGCAAATACACGTCATCTTGATGCAATGAGGAGCGACAGCAGCTATTCTTGTCCACAGCGAATTGTGTTCCCCAACCATCACTGAAGCACCGTCACTAGCATAGCCAACACAATTCACTAAATCAAGTTTAATTGTGGCAAGGCAATCTTTGATTGCATTAAAAAGATCATCTGCTGAAGTGTGGACAACAGGAACCAGGTCAACAAACGCTGTAACGATCTTATTTTCAACTTCGCTGAAATACCTTACGATAATGCAGACCTGCTTCGATGTGGAAATATCAGTAGATTCATCCACAATTAACGAAAACTTCTTACCCTGGACATCAGCAATCAGTTGTTCCTTCAACGCTGGACTTATAACTTTGGTCAATAGCTTTGAGCATTTGTTTCTATGCATTTTAATGTTCTCAAGTTTGCTTCCATGAGCATTTCGGGCTATTATCCCTCCGAGATGATCCATGGTCAAGATTGCCGAATGGCAAGCCATTGTAACAGCTAGCTCGATCTCGGCGACCTTTACTTCTTCTGCAACTTTTGGGACACGTACGACTTGGACGGGCCTTGTAGTAGTAGATACTTTAATGTGTTTGATGTGTTTATCAGTTTTTTCGTATTTGGTTAAGTTTGCTTGTTTGGGTCTGATTGTGGCACGGCACAATTTACAAAAGCATCTTCACTTCCGTCTGAAGCTTTTGTGAGCCAGCTAAATTTACTTTCCCAAGACTTGTTATATTTTCCTCCGCTATCATAAGCTCCTTTCCATTTTGATGCCATAATATTGCAACGAATAACGTTTTTATCAGTCTTAACTAGTATTAGTAGTGGTCGAACGTGCTATTTATAGCTAGATGTCGGACGTCTACGAAGACAAAGCTGTGTGCTTGCTTGTGATTAGCTGGTTAAATTGCATGACAATTGGCTGAATTATACTTAGCTGTGATTGGATGAAAACAATTCAATGCTCAATTTGATCCTTATGATCATTTTTAGTTGTATTTCCATCGCATTTTGTACATTTAAGAGATTTTTACAAATAAAGCTCAATAAAAATTTAAAAAAAATTGTTTGAGTAAAAAGAGGCCAAAAAGTAGCCAAATAGCCAAAAAAAAATTTCGAGGCCAAAGAAAGAAAAAAAAGGCCAAAATCGAGTTATTTGGCCTCAAAAAGGCCAAACTAACAACCCTGCTGTTAACACAGAATAGATACGTATACAGAAGCGCCACTTAGCGAAAAATCTGTCCCCTACTTGTACCCAGTTCTTAAGTGCGCATCTTTTGCGTCCGCCATTACTCCAGCCAGATAAACTCATTGAGTTCTATAATAACTGGAGCGGCTATCTCAAGCGCGGCCTTAGATATCTGGTGACGCCAAAAAAATGGCGGATTTCGTCCGTTGCCGCTGAGATTTACCGAAATTGACCGCTTTTCCGAAAATTTCACAATTTCCCACTCCCTCCTGATGAAAGAGTGAGGAAAATGTATATGTGTATTTGGGATTCGGCAAGCAATTTTTTGATGAAAATCACGATAAAAACCTACAATTCGTAACAGCGAGTCAACCTAGCTTTCCAGTTATCGGCTCCTACGAGGAAAGATATTAACTATAAACTATGTACGAAAGAACTCTTTGTTGGCTGCGTTTGAACGTTTTTAAACGTCGTGTCTAATGTACATGTGGACGATGTGGTCTCTTTTCAAGGTAAGGAGAAAGTCTTAAAGCCATGTCCAGCCGACAATTTAAAAAAAGATAGTAAAAAACAAATTCTGAAGAAACGAGATATCTCGAGATGAAAAAATGTGAATGAAAACAAAACGCGAAGTGAACTGTAAAATTTCGATTTATTTCAAAGTCATCCTCAGACAGAATGATAATCCAAACCATGCATACACATATATATTTACAATGAATGAATTAAGTAACGAAAGTCAAGCAATAGAAATTAAATAGTTTGATATTTACGAAAGCGGAGTTGGAAGAGCTGTCATATTTTAAAAGGATGAATTGAAACAAGAGACCAGACTGGTGGAATGAGTGTATTGTAATTTAAGAGAAGAGTTGTAATTCTTTGCTAGCCTTAAGTCCCGTGTTAAGAAACCATTTCTTAATATATGTGTATGCATGGTTTCGATTATCATTCTGTCTGTGGATGACTTTGAAATAAATCGAAATTTTACAGTTCATGTCTTGTTTTGATTCACATTTTTACATCTCAAGATGTCTTGTTTCTTCAGAATTTGTTCTTTACTTAACTCTTAAAGAGTACTCTATAGTCATATTTATGTCAATGTGGTAATGTATATTAGTGAATTCCTGCATGTGGCAAGCCACCATGGCAGGAATTTACCATCCTCATTACACATTTCTCTGTTTCCTGACACACTTTCAGAAGATCGTCAGTTGGTATTTTTAAACCACCGTTGCTCTTCCATGCCACAAATAGTTCTGGTGCTCTTTCTTTAGATGATGTCAGAGCATCCATACAATCATCACAATGGATCTTCCTTTTCACCATTTTTGCGACATAGCCAGCAATATACAATATTGCTGCCTCCTTGTAGTCTGAAAGCTGAATGTAGTTTGAGGTGTCGCTGTAATCGTGGTCAGTTTGTTCTGGCCCACGCAGTTCTAGATCGTATCTTCTTGCAGTATTTACATCGGAAATATCTGCCGACATTCGTTCACTCTCACACCGATCTTCTAGTCTACTTAGAATTTCGGTACCATCCTGAGCAACACAATTTCCATGACCTCCTTTAATGTCATGTCGCATCAGCAGCTGCTTGTACGCTGCTTTGAACTGTCGAGATGTCGGGTTGTTGTTCCAACCTCCTGACGCTCGCACAGCTGAAAAAAACAATTCTAAATGATCTTGACTTGTCTTATAAGTAAGCAAATATTTAAGGGGAGAATTGTCACTTATAACAAGATCCTCAGCAAGCCCTTGCACTGCTTCAATGCACAACAGAAACCCCAAGAATCCTGTTTTCCTCTTATGGGAAAAAATCGACTTTCCATCAGCACCCTTCAGATTTAAGATGTATTGCCTTGCTTCATCCAGGAAGGTTTTATCAGCTTGTAATTCGCTTTCCTTATTGGTGCTTTGTAATTTTAGAAATTGGATTCCTGGAATTCAAAACGTCAAACAAGCGATCAAATACTCGAATGAATTTGACTGTTTTATCACACCCTTTAAACTGTGGAAGTTTGAGCTTACCTTCACAGAACTCTAAAGCATCTGCAACACTCGAGCTGAGTGCTTGCACTGCTAAATTTACCTTCATTTTCTGTGGCTTCCAGTTTATGTGAGCTTTCTTTAGTTTGTTGGCAAGTCGCAAGCCCTCTGAGGCTTGCAGTTTTTCTAGCTCAACTAAGTATTGCCATCTTACCAAACCATCTTTTTCATCCTTCAGAGTTCTCAATTCAGAAATTGCTCCTCTGACAAGCTTGATCATATGACAAGGATCTAAAAATACATGAATTTTCAACATTAAATCAGATGGATGTAAAAAATATGCTTGAAAATCATTAAGTGAAATTTTCACTCCAAGCAACTTCATCATTGCAAGGTGTGTGGATGGACCATCACACGTTAAACTTCCAACTTTAACACCAACATCATGCAACTGCATCAAACACTCCTTGGTTAGATTTGCTTTTACTTCTGCAGTGAGGCCATCTACCAAGAAGTAACCAACTGGTACTTTCCAGGATGAATCTAGAGCAACAGCCATGTATACCAAAACTTCTTTTGCTTCAGGGAGTGAATCATCATCAATCCCAGTACCAAGGTCAACATAACCACAAACTTTTTTGACCATCCCATTCTACGTGTTTGCGGATTGACATTTCATCCAGCATCAATGCACATATGACTTCCTTGCCATCTTTCTTTGCTTCTTGAACCTTCACTTTCAAAGCATTCAAGGCATCTTTGGTGAAACCAGGGTCACCATCCATGGAATTATACCAAGATCGAATTACTCTTGGATGAGGTAAGGCTAAATTAAACTTCTCACGAACATAATCATAAGCCTTAGGCGAGTAAAATTTCAAAGTTAGTGCGAAAGCTTGCAATTCTGGGGGGTATTGAGCACCTTGTTTACCCTGAGTGTTTGCCACTAAACGACTCAAAATATCTTCAGGAACCCCAGATAGTGAAGCATTAAGAAGTTCAGCTTGATCAGAGCTGATCATTTTATCATCTTTAAGGCAATCAATGATTGACAATAAATCATTTACCTTCTTTTTCAGTCTACTTTTTTTCTTATTAGACACTTTTAACCTCTTTCTATAAGACTCTGCCCGGTCTATAACATCTTCCAATTGTCTTTTCAGTCTCCTGGGAGACTTAAGACAATATGAGTGATCATGAATAGAAAAATGACCACTCACCTTTTCAGTGCTCTCCGTGCATTCAACATCCTGCACCTGTTGAAATAATGTGGGCACGGCACTATCTTCTAGACACACTTTGTTACCTGTTGTTCTCTTCATGCTATCGGAAAAATGATCTGAGCAAACTCTGCTCCACTTAGTTAGAACTGTGAGAGGCGACCATTTCTTTATACTATTTACCCATTCCGCGAAAAAAGTGCAGGGTTTTTTTCTTCGTCAGGAAAACTATTTGAAATAGATTAGTAAATTTATTGCTTCATGCGTTGATTCAACAAATAAATAAAAAAAATTGTTGAATTTTGTAAAAAAACACCCATGAAAACATCAGTGTATGCAGTATTTAAGAGAATTTTTTTTTTCATAAGGCCTAACAGATTTTGGGGCTTTCAATTGTATAAATGCCGATTCAATCTTTAAGGAACAAACAATATAAGCGAATAACTCACCTGTGAAAAGCGATGTCCTTCGTGTTGTCAACATTACGACATTCTACGATTGAACATCGATTAGGCATTTTTGAAAAAAATATTGTTTTGGCCTTGAAAAATATTGTTTATTTATCATACAGCTCGCAATTGAATTTGAAATTTTCAACTGAAGGCGGGAAAATCAATAACATCAATCCGGGGGAGGTCGAGAATATTATTTTTCTGCAAAGCGATCATTTCAGCGGAAATACGTCCGTTGGCCGCCATTTTATTGGCGACCTCGCCCCAGTAAAGATAGCCGCTCCAGTTATTATAGAACTCAATGGATAAACTGGCCAGAATGTATATGCAATTATGCATTAATATTATGAAGAGTTGTTTTTCGAAAATTTGACGAATGTAAATTCACTTATGGACAAAATTTTTAATGCCATCGGATAGGATACCAAGCATATGAGGTGAGAAACAGTTTTGTTGTAAAATACATTCGTCAAATATAATTTTACGGGTTTTCTAGTTTTTTGCCTTGAATTGTATGCGAGATCCATGTTTAGAACGTCTCTTATATTGAACGGCAGTTGCCCTAAGAATTTATAATTTAGGACAAAGGTAATAAATATATTTAGTGTGATTCCATTTCTGTATTTTCTATTAAAGAGTTTCCTATTAGAATGGTCAATGGATTTTATAGAAGCGATAAAACGACCTACTGTGCGTAAAGAACGTTCTTTAGATGAAGACGTTATTCGTATAGAATTTGGACTAAACTAATTTATATTTGATGCTTGAATCGGGCTTTTTAGTTGCAATGTAGGTTGTCTGCATAATTGTAATTGAACGTTTTTATTCCTAATTGTATATTGAGTTCCTGTGGCTATCATGTCTGTCAAATTTGTATTAACTTACAAATAAAGATGTTTTTTGGTTGTCTTATTTTTAATAAACAATATATGAAATTACAATTTTTTAAAGAATGAAGTTATTGATAAATTGTTTCAGTTAAATCAACAACTTTGTCATTATGTCAAACATATTGTCAAGCTCCTACAGCTTAGCTCTTTGGTTAACCTTCACTTGTGAGTTGTGACTAACAATTGTATGTGAAAAATGATTAGAATTATGTTTGATTCACCACATTGATCAACCAGCAGAGAGAAATTATTGCAACAAAGGGCTTGAACAATTTTTGCTAAAATCCATAAACTTCATTCAATAAATTAAATTTTTTATTGTAAATAATCATGTAACAAACAGAACTTATTCTGACAAAAACCAGTAAAAGTTACTCTTAATGCCATTATTTAAATCTTAATACTTTACACAGTAAAATGTTTACCAAAAGGTGAAACACAGATACACCAGAAAACTTTTTTAAAACATTTGACAACAGGGGGAAACTGTGCCAAGCCAACACCAATCCAATTCACAAAAGCATTCAGGGAGCTTTTTTATGTTCACTTCTCACATCATCAATAAGCATCTATGTCAAGTATATAAATAATCTCCTGATTGAATTTAAAAAGGCAGAAATAACAAAGTTAAGTCATGTGGACCATATGACAGTATATGTTTTACAAATTGCTATTCAAGCACTCTATTAGTGGACCAACATGCTGCTGATGTTCCAACTTGCGCAAAAAGTCATTCAAGCTTCACAAGTCACAACTGTGATGAATACAAAATATTTTGGCATCAGACAACCTTCATAGTGGCCATGCAGCATCGCTTCTGATATTTTAAAACACCTGGGTAGACAATTGTGGTGATTCGAATGTCCTGCCAAACGTTCTTTGCAATATATAAACTAACTGGAGGATAATTTGATTTATCACTTGTTTCAGCCACGACCGAGATTTCAAATGTTAGAACAAATATCTTCAAGATTCTCCGCAGAATTCTTATATGATAAAATTAAAACTGACGACAAACCATATACCGAGTACGCATCTCGTCAAATACACATATCTACTTTGAAAATATTCCGAATAAACCTTGATTTATCAAAACGGACGTCGAATTAATGGATAAATTGTTGAAAGCTTGATGTGTTAACTGTATCCACACAAAAAATATTAAAAAAATGGCCAATCTATAGAAATATTTGGGTTAATTTGCCAAAACCCATCCGTAGAACTATATATTATGTTACGATTTGGCTGGAAACATGGCCGCCATTTAAAATACCTGGTTGTAGAACTCAAAACAAGGGGCACGAACATCAAAGGCTCCGACATCGAGTGGCGCTTCTGCATACGTATCTATTCTGTGACTACTGATATGCCACTTAAACTTCAGCTTATGTTGTCACTCAATGATTATATGCTTGTCATCGAGTTAAATAAACTGAAATCATGCGCAGGTGCGTCATTTCGGAAAATGCGAGGTAAATAACATAATGCAACATCAGATTGAAAAGCGAGAGCGTTTATTGTATATTGCTAGACTTTTGATTTCAAATGACTTCAATTTAAAAAAGCGTTTGTTCGAAATCATATTCGTTTACATATCAGCGAACAAATCGAATTTGATGTGGAAAATTTTTAATTTTGACGACGTAATCGGCAATGTAATTGATTGTTTGGCAAAGCGATATCATTGCTAAAAACTGCGCTTACCTCGGTCAAGTAAATTTTTGCACCTATCTGAAATATTACGACGGTAAAATGAAACTCAACCAAATCAGTATGGTCTTCTCAACAACGCCTGTAGTCGGAACGTGAGGATTGACAACATAAACAAGTTAAAGTATGCCACACCGGAAATTGTCAAGCAATCACGTACGTTACATGACAGTAAGAAGACAAGATTTAGCAGAATTTCACCATTGATGCATTTGTGTTTGCATAACGTCGTTAAATTTTACGGCTAAATATTCCGACATGTTGTACGTTAGAAATGATTGTATAAAACAACGTCTCAGTAAGTCTTGGCGGGCATTAAAAATTTTATAAAAGTTGGACAGCACGTCACACGTTGCGCTGGTCAAGAAGGAGAAGTCTTTTCCCAGAAAACTTTTCTTAGTACTTGTAACATCTTTGACCATTTTCACATAAAAGACTTAAAGGGATGGACACATTTATCTTCCAGGAGAATATGTATGGGAAACTGAACCGGCAGAAAAGCAATGTTCTCCTAAACTAAAACATCTTAAAGTCAATCCACATTTGCTAAATCCTATGTATTTGCTATCGTAAAGTTGGAGTGATTGTTAGTTTCTGAGAGAGAAATTAACAATGACTATTGTGAACAGCACAGCCTGAGGATGAAACCAAAGACAACTAATTTGGTTTGTTAGTACATAGCAAATGCTGCTCAAGAGCACAGGATAAGCAGTGATGTTTGCTGGGTGAATGTTGGGGAAGACACCACAATGTCTTGTGAAAAAAAGTTGGGTCCATGATAAAGTTCAATCTGGCTAAAATTGTGAACTTTTCCCATCAAATACAGATACTAAAAATATTTGTCCCAGGTTCCAATTCCATTTTCTTCCAAGGATATGTCTGTCGTTGCCGAAGATTCTATTGACATGGATGTATCGTGAGATGATCATTTGCTAAGTGCCCGTACAGATTCCTGGACATCAATCTTGCTTATTGGATTAAAGAACGAGTATGTCATCTACGGTTTATTATCGGTCGATGGGAGTTAAGTAGGCACGTACTAAATACTACAAAGGGAACCGAAATTAGAGTTTTCCTGCCGAAAGTAAGTCTACACTTGTTGATGTACAATTTAACAAGAATTTTCATTATATTTTCTTGCTGGTATTAAGTATGCACCATTAGCATTTTTGAGTCTTTTGATTGATTTTATCATTGTGTGAACACAAGCTTTACCCAGCTTCACCAATTACCATGGCGACAACAAGCATTGTGCAATAACATAGAAAAATATCAATATCTATCGCTTGATGACCGTCATGCTATAAGGACCTTTTCTCGAATTGATAAAATAGACCATTTAAGCGTTAACAGAACGTTCAATCATTCAGGCTAAATACTTAAATATGCGTTCATAAAGCCGTGTTTCCTTCAATTTCTTCCTGCTTCCCAACCGACGGCCTGACCATATGTAGGAGGAGGCTCGTGGGGAGAAATGTTTGGGTTAGGGTTAGGGTACAATCCATATCCAGTGGTTGGTGGGTAAGGTGCGGTTGGTGGGTTCTCTGCATAAGGAGAAGGCATGATGCCGTAGCCGGAAGTAGGATAATGTGCTGTCGTCGTGCCGACCGTATAGCCCGAAGGTTGAAATCCATATGTCGGAGGTGGGGATGGTTGCATTCCGTCGTAAACAAACCAAAAGCTGTGGACATCAATGGGGTAGTCAGGACCCTTGTCTTGATGTACGTATTTGGCCGAGACGTCCCCTGCCATCAACACGCGCCAACCACGTGCTGCGTACGCCTCTATAACGTTGCAAAGAAAGCTGCGCACGTGACACGTATCGTTGTTTATTCCACCGTTCCACGGACAACCTTTGAGTTTCAATTGGCGTACGCCACCAAAACTAAGGTTCATTATTTTTTCTTCCTGGATCCCATTCATCCAGCGGCTAAGAAGAATCTGCCTAAACGTGTCGTCCAGTTCAGGTGGCGCGTTGATCAGACGGAATTTATCCGAATCCGTTAAACTGAGACACATGACCGGACAGCGTTTGGGCTCGCCTTTTTTAAATATCAACACGGATTTATCAGTTGGGCGACGTGAGATATCTATGGCTGCTATGTTATGCCAACCCTGCTCCATCATTGCTTCCAAAATCTTGAGAATTAAATACCTAAAAAAAAGTAGAAAGAACAACGTTATGTATAGTCATGCTGTGAAACGGCCAATTTCAATCCTAAAGCGCCCCTTTCCGCAAAAATTTTTAAGTTTGCCAAATCGTCCAATTTTTATTGCTATTTAAAGTTAGCAAAAATGTTCCTTCTAATGGACCTTGTCCGTCGTTAGAAAAGTCTGGAACGACTTACCTTTGTGACGTCATGCAAGGGATTCCTCAATACAAGATATATATAACAACCACCTTGGATGACGTCAGAATTTGACTAGACCCACACTTCATGTAATAACGGACAAGGCCATTGAAAGGCAACTTTAAGCCTCCATAACAAGAAGACAATTTGACCAAATTGAAAAACTTTCTTACCGATATGTGAGATATTACACCAAGTTTTGATATCGCTAATAAAAGTTATTGCAGATAGGGGCACTTTAACGTTTTGGTCACTCAAGCATGCAATGTTAGCCTTATTGTAACTTACAGATTACTTGTACGTAAGCTAACTCTAGCAAAAAATATTTATTACTTTTAAGCTAAACGTGCGTTTCTATGCCTACTTGAGGATGCTGCGTTCTTTTAAACCTTTCGAAACAGTATTGTCTATTGGGGACTACTGCAGTTTAGCGGAAACCTTGGACACTGACCCAAACCCTAACCTATAAACGAGCCCGCGCTCCCGATACAAGCTTTTCGGGTGTCCGCTAAACGGCAGTCTAGCTGTCTTTCGTGTACCTTGCCATCACCGACTCCCCCTTTGAAGAATGCCAAGGATTGCCTGAAAGTTTGAATTCCCAGCTTCCATGATGGTCTTTTTCATCCTGAATCGTACCGTGTGACCATGCGCTTTGTATAACACCGCGTATTATTGTTATGATCGGCTCGGGGGCGCGAATAATTCGGAGACGATCGGTACGATTAAGGCTTATCGTACAAAGCTGGGGGAACGAGCCTGCGGGCAGGTCGGGATCGTGGCGAAAGAAGAGAGAGTCTGCGGTACTTTTGAGGTTCACGTTGACAGCGAAAGAATATTGGTGTTGATAAAGAAAACCGACTAAATTTTGGAGCAGCACTTTTGCCATGATGGATTGCTCGTCCGTTGACACCCAAGGGTTACCGCACATCTTTATCTCCAGCACTCCATTTTGATAGGATTCATTTTGAATTCCTCTCGTCCAATTGCGGCGGACTGTCTGCTTAAAGGTTTCGACGAGCTGGGTTGGCAGATTGATAATCATAAGTTTGTCGGTGCTGCTCAAGCCAACGCAGGCAAATGGATATGCCGATGAGAAATGGCTGGGAGATCGTGTGAGAAACACCGCACTTTTATCGTTGAAGCGTGCCAGGTCACATGACACCACCACTCTTCGCCCAATGTTATATAATCTGTGAAGGATTGTCGCTATCATTTGTCGTGAATTTTGAGAGCTAAACGATCCAGTTGAAATAAATGGATTACCTAAAACAAACATAGCGAGATATTGCCGACTCAGATAAAATTGTACACCGTTTACGATCAAAATTTATCTGTTCAGTTACCTTTAACTTTGAATGCATGACCCGTCCCACAAATGGCATATTCCTTTTGAATGCCGTGGGGCCAAGATTCCAAAATTGCCTGCCTTATGGTCGACAGTGCAGCTTGATCATGGTGAAGAACAGTGATGCAATCAGTGTTTTGAAGAGATATACACATGGTGGAAAAGCCAACACTGACTTGAGGTAATGGCATTGATGTGTCGTTACCCATCTTGATAAAAAAGGTATACAACCATGAAATAGTTTAATATTAATGGCCGCAATTGGGCATGTACACAACTTTGTTGAATATGTTGATTTTTTATTTTTTACAACACTTCTGTCCTTTAGAACTTAGCCATATAGTTTGATCTTTTGTCAACAATATACTTTTAGTTTTAATTTTTCCAAGCTATAAAGGTAAACTATCTAATGTTTCAAAATGGGTCACTGTTATGGTAAGGACCAGCTAGAATTCGATATTCTTAGCTTGGCAAGGTGTGCTATATTTAAGAAAAGTGTTCACATATGTATTCATTACCATTCTTAGTGAGCGCCATGCTAAAGTATTTTAAATATTTGTTGAAATATACAAAATTTTAACTCACTACAAGACTTGCCAATGAATATAAAAACTTAGAAAATGAATTAAACACAAGACTAAAGAATTAAAGTGCAGCTTTGCATTTTTACTATATTTTTGACATATTTAATACTTTGCTCATATGCATGAAGCAATGTAACACAGTAAGTCGAGTATTTTATACACACAAACTGATGACCAGCCCTTTATTTGTTGCACTCACATCCATTTAAAGGAGGGAAGGGACTGAGACAGAGGTTCAGCATTACACCCAAATTATGAGGTCACGGACTCAAGGTCAGTATAACATTGCAAAATACATTTGGAATTTATAGTTGTTTATGTTGATTTCCTATCTCCTTCCTGTGACTTTGTAAAATGTTTAATGCGTATTTGGGACACAAGTTAGCTTGTGGTTGTACCCCAGATCATTTGAATTATCACGACTATTAATATGCCACTTAAACTTCAGCTTATGTTGTCACTCAATGATTATCTGCTTGTCATCGAGTTAAATACACTGAAATCATGCGCAGGTTGCGTCATTTCGGAAAATGCGAGGTAAATAACATAATGCAACATCAGCTTGAAAAGCGAGAGCGTTTATTGTATATTGCTAGACTTTTGATTTCAAATGACTTCAATTTAAAAAAGCGTTTGTTCGAAATCATATTCGTTTACATATCAGCGAACAAATCGAATTTGCTGTGGAAAATTTTTAATTTTGACGACGTAATCGGCAATGTAATTGATTGTTTGGCAAAGCGATATCATTGCTAAAAACTGCGCTTACCTCGGTCAAGTAAATTTTTGCACCTATCTGAAATATTACGACGGTAAAATGAAACTCAACCAAATCAGTATGGTCTTCTCAACAACGCCTGTAGTCGGAACGCGAGGATTGACAACATAAACAAGTTAAAGTATGCCACACCGGAAATCGTCAAGCAATCATATACGTTACATGACAGTAAGAAGACAAGATTTAGCAGAATTTCACCATTGATGCATTTGTGTTTGCATAACGTCTTTAAATTTTACGACTAAATCTTCCGAGTTTACACAGGTCAATAAAACATTACACAAAATTTAATTGTTTATGGTTTATATAAGACGTTTGTATTACTTTTCCTCCACTTCCTGTGCATATGGCTTGAAAGAGGATCTTAATCTTAAACGAGAATGCTCGAGTATTACCCGTACCCTGTGTTAAGTAGGCAAACGTAAGGCTCAGTTTGTGGGTTCACTGCATATGCAAGGGGCATACAGGAGATCGCAAGAGGTGATCTTTTTTGCTTTGCTCAAAAGTAAGAGGATTT